AAAGGAACACTTTTACACTGTTGGTGGGAATGTAAATTAGTTCAACCACTGTGGAAGTCAGTGTGGCGATTCCTCAAGGCCTTAGAAATAGAAATTCCATTTGACCCAGCAATCCCATTACTGGGTATATATCCAAAAGGCTATAAGTTGTTCTACTATAAGGACACATGTACACGAATGTTCATTGCAGCACTGTTTACAATAGCAAAGACTTGGAATCAACCCAAATGCCCATTGATGATAGACTGGATTGGAAAAATGTAGCACATATACACCATGGAATATTATGCAGCGATCAGAAATGATGAGTTTGTGTCGTTTGTAGGGACATGGATGAATCTGGAGAACATCATCCTCAGCAAACTGACACAAGAACAGAAAACGAAACACCGCATATTCTCACTCATAGGTGGGTGATGAAAAATGAGAATGCATGGACACAGAGAGAACAGTACTAGACACTGGGGTCTATTGGGGGGAAATGGGGAGGGCCAGTGGGAGGGGGAGGTGGGGAGGGATAGCCTGGGGAGAAATGCCAAATGTGGGTGAAGGGGAGAAAGAAAGCAAAACACACTGCCATGTGTGTACCTATGCAACCATCTTGCATGTTCTGCACATGTACCCCCAAACCTAAAATGCAATAAAAAATTTAAAAAAAATAAAAAATAAAAATAAAAATAAATAAATAAATAAATAAGACAATAGGGAGGCCACAATGAGAACGTCTCCAGGGGTCTTTTAGCAAACTCCTAAAACATGTCTCAGCTGTGTGGAAATAAGACTTTAGAGCAGTCAGTGAGGTGATGCAGGCCTATAATCCTAGCACTTTGGGAGCAGAGGTAGGTGAGCTTGGAGCTCAGGGCAACATAGCAGAAACTTCCATCCCCTCCCCCACCTTCTGCTACCCACTCCTTGCCCCTATTTCCTCCAAAAATACAAAACTTAGCCAGGCATGGTGGCAGGCACCTGTAGTCCCAGCTACTCATGAGGTTGAGGTAGAAGAATTGCTTGAACCCAGGAAGCAAATGTTGCAGGGAACCAAGACCACAGCCAGTCTGTGTGAAAGAGCAAGACTCCATCTCAAAAAAGAAAAAAAAAAAGTTTAAGAGGGACCCCAAAGCAAAAAATCCCAACCCTTTTTCTCCCAATCACTGAAACACCAGGAAGGTGTAATAGTTTTGCAGCATACCTGTAGTAGGCTGATAGTGATCCCCCAAGATGCTCATAACCTAATCCCAAGAACCAGTGAACATGACCTCATATGGTAGAAGAGGCTTTGCAAATACAATGAAGTTAAGGATCTTTGGCTGGGAAGATTATTCTGGCTTGTCACAGTGGGGTTGATGTACTCACCTGGATCCTTGTAAGAGCAGAGCAGGTGATGGAGAGTGGTGGGAAGTGCAGTGACGGAAGCAGGAACTCGAGTCATTCAAGAAGGGCAGCACAAGCTGAGGAGTGCAGGCCACCTCCAGTGCCAGGAAACGAATTCTCCTACAGAGCCTCAGCAGGTACCTGCCCTGCTCCCACCTTGAGTCAGCAGGACTGACTTTAGAATTCTGGCCTTCAGAACTGTAAGGAAATACATCTGGGTTGTTTTTGTTTTAAGACAGAGTTTTGCTCTTTTTTTCCCAGGCTGGAGTTCGATGGCACGATCTCGGCTCATTGCAACCTCCACCTTGCAGGTTCAAGCAATTCTCCTGCCTCAGCCTCCTGAGTAGATGGGATTACAGGTGTGCACTACCGCCCAGCTATTTTTGTATTTTTAGTAGAGGTGGAGTTTCTCCATGTTGGTCAGGCTGGTCTTGAACTCCCAACCTCAGCTGATCTGCCCGCCTCAGACTCCCAAAGTGCTGGGATTACAGGCGTGAACCACCACGCCTGGCTACATCTGTGTTGTTTTAAGCCACTAAGTGTGTAGTAATTTGTTGCAGCAGCAACAGGAAACTAGTATTGTAGTAAAGCCTCAAACCACCTGAAGGGGCTGGATGCAGTGGTTCATGCCTGTAATCCCAGCATTTTGGGAGGTCAAAGTGGGCAGATCACTTGAGGTCAAGACCAGCCTGGTTAACATGGTGAAACCTTGTCTCTGCAAAAAAATTAGCTGTGAGTGGTGGCACATGCCTGTAATCTCAGCTACTTAGGAGGCTAAGACATGGGAACTGTTTGAACCTGGAGAGCGGGAGGCGGAGGTTGCAGTGAGCCAAGATTGTGCCACTGCACTCCAGCCTGGGTGAGAGAACCGGACTCCTTCTCAAAACAATCAATGCCACCTCAAGAAAGTTTCCAGTTCTGAAAGCAATCCCCCACCCAATCCCTAGAAGTCGACCTTTCTTCTTCATGTTTTTTTTTTTTTCCTTTGGAGATGGAGTTTTACTCTGTTGCCCAAGCTAGAGTGCAGTGGGGTGATCTTGGCTCATTGCAACCTCTGCCTGCCTAGATCAAGCCATTCTCCTGTCTCAGCCTCCTGAGTAGCTGGGATTACAGGCACGTGCCATCACACCTGGCTAATTTTTGTGTTTTTAGTAGAGACAGGGTTTTGCCATGTTGCCCAGGCTCAACTTAAACTCCTGGCCTCAAGTGATCCACCTGTCTCAGCTTCCCAAAGTGCTGGGATTACAGGTGTGAGCCACGGCACTCAGCACTCAGCACTCACCAAGGCCTTTGATAGCACGCTTTTCCAGGTGATCAGTCTTTGTCTGGTCTGGCTCTGCTGCACTCTCCCCCTCACCAAGCTGGAATCCCTATACTTTTCAGAACAGGAGAGTGTGTACTTTAATCCCAGCTTGGTATGGTTCAGATCTGCATTTAACTCATGGAACCTGGCTGCTCCCCAGGCCCTGGAGAATAAAAGGGTCTCTGTGGGTATGAAGCACGATGAGCCAAGACCATGCCACTGCACTCCAGCCTGGGCTACAACAGGGAGACTCCATCTCAAAAAAAAAAAAAAAAAAACTCCAACTAAAAGAAAAACAAAAACAAAACAAAAAACAAAAAACAAATGTGGCATGGCAAAGAAAATAATTACTGTGTTAAAAACAGTTACATAGAAAATAAAAGACAGGACAATAAGCTGTCTTTTTAGATGACTGTAATTGTTATTCTCATTTTACAGCTAAAGAAATGGGCTCAGGGCAAGCATGGTGGCTCATACCTGTAATCACAGCACTTCAGGAGGCTAAAGCATGTGGATCATGAGGTCAAGAGATCAAGACCATCCTGGCCAACATGGTGAAACCCTATCTCTACTAAAAATACAAAAATTAGCTGGGCATGGTGGTGCGAGCCTGTAGTCCAAGCTACTCGGGAGGCTGAGGCTTGAACCCCAGAGGTGGAGGTTGCAGTGAGCCAAGATGGCACTACTGTACTCCAGGCTGCCAAAAGAGCAAGACCCCGTCTCTAAAAAATAAGTAAAAGAGAAACAGGCTCAGAGAATGTTATTTGATTGGACTGTGTTGCATCTCTGGACAGTGAAGCTGAGATCAGACTTCATATGTAACTCCCCTAGCCTACCAAGGTGCCTCTCATAAAGGTAAGACATATAAATTTGGCCTAATATACAAAGATGCTTGAACAGTCAATTCTACATACAATACTTCCATTTCATCAAGGAAAACCTTATGGGAAGGTGAAAATGCTTCTAGAAGGGCCTGGGCACCAGTGCCCTTACTTGTTGCCTTTGGGCTCTTCCTCCAAGTCCAACAGTGACCTGAAATTACTGACTGTTCCAATCAACTGGAGAAAATGGTACCAAGGTCACCAACATCAGGCAGATTCACTTGAGGACCTATCTCTATGCTCTGACAGACAAAACTGCTTTTGTAAACGATACTATATTTCGGAAAAACATAATCATATTAACAACTAATAACTGTAAAATGCTGATGTGTTGAATGCTACTTTAGAAAAATATGCTCAAATGTAGGAAAACAAATTCTGATAGAAAACTATGTATCAATTATCTAGCTAGCTATCTAGAGACATGGTCTCATTCTTTTGCTCAGGATGGAGAGCAGTGGGACAATCATAGCTCACTGCAGACTTATTTCTGGCCTCAAATGATCCTCCTGCCTCAGCATCCTAAGTGGCTGGGGCCACAGGTGGACAGTTACATCTGCCTTTTTTGTTTGTTTTGTAAAGTCAGGGTTTCACTACAGTGCCGAAGCTGGTCTCAAACTCTGGAGTCTCACTCTGTCACCCAGGTTAGGGTGCAGGGATGTGATCTTGACTAATTACAACCTCTGCCTCCTGGGTTCAAGCAATTCTCCTGTCTCAGCCTCCGGAGTAGCTGGGACTACAGACATGTGCCACCACATGCAGCTAATTTTTGTAGAAACCGGGTTTCATCATGTTGGCTACACTGATCTCAAACTCCTGACCTCAGGTGATCCACCTGTGTTGGCCTCCCAAAGTGCTAGAATTACAGGTATGAGCCACCAAGCCAGGCTAAGCACTTTGCTATTGAATAGCCTAACCCAAGCAGGGTGTGGTGGCTCACATCTGTAATCCCAACGACTCTGAAGGCCAAGGTGAGAAGATGGCTTGTACCTAGGAATTCGAGACCAGCCTAGGTAACATGGGGGCAAGACCCCCCATCTCTACAAAAAGATACAAACTATTAGGCCAGGCATGCACCATGCCTGGCTAATTTTTGTATCTTTTTGTAGAGACGAGGTTCATGTTGCTCAGGCCTGTCTCAAACTCCTGAGTCGAAGCCATCCTCCCGCCTCGGCTTCCTAAAGTGCTGGGATTACAGGGCCCAGGCAGCCTCAATTTTTCTTTAAGCAGTCCCCCAATGTGGCACACTTGGATAGTTTTCTGATTTTTTTAGACAGGGTTTACCTCAGTCTCGCAGGCTGGAGTGCTGTGGTAAGATCATAGTTCATTGCAGCCTTGAACCTTGGGCTTCAAGTAGCTGAGAGGCCGAGGTAGGACTACGGAAATGGGGTCACATCACGTTGCCAGGCTGCTCTTGAACTCCTGGCCTGAAGAAAACTTCCCGTCTCTCGCGCCCGGACAGTTTTCCGATTTTTGACTCACATAAACACTGTGCTGGGTCAGAGTCTGTTAACTACCTTTCTCCAACCAGCAGCACACGGGACGCAGCGGAGTGGAGCTTACCAGGCTCTGCTCTGCAGAAAAGACAAGACAGCTCCTAGGTAACACACCACCACGTCAGGTCGCCGAAGGTCCGTCTCTGTGACGTCGCCAGAGGCCCGCTCCTGTGACGTTGCTAGAGGCGCACCCCTGTGACATTGCCAGAGGCACATCGCTGTGACGTCATAGAGGCCCGCCCCTCGTGTGGAGCCGGTTGGAAGTCGAAGCGGGGCTGCTGGGTCTTCCAGGAGTGCGCATGCCCGGGCGGGTGACGGAAGCTGCTGCAGAGCCCGCACTTCTGCATTGACAGGCTCCGGCCTGGCTGCAGTCACCTATAAGCCCAGAAGACGACTTTTAAGATTTCCCAATCTGCAGGGCTGGGAGCAGCAGGGACCCAATGCAGCTAGCAGGAGCTGCACACCAGCCTCCCAGCGCCTGGTGGGCACGAGCGCAAGGTCGCGCAGAAGAAGCTCCTCAATGGCCTGTGTAAGGGCTACCGGCGCCTCTGCTACACTGGCAACGTATTTGCCTTGCCTCAGCCTGGGTTCGTGCGACCCCCAACACCTTTCCCAGCCAGGGCCCCAGGGACCCCAGGAGCGTCCTTCACCGCTGCTCATCCTGGACAGGATGCCAACCCTGAGGCTGCCTCCCATTAAGGAGTTGCACCCCCCACCCCAGCTTGACCTTTGAATGCCATCGCAATAGCGTTAAAGCCTTTGCAACTTTTTAGGTAAGTACTAGGGAGCTAGGAAACAAATAAAACATCTTTATAAAAATCTAAGGGATTGGCCAGGTGCGGTTGCTCAGGCCTGTAATCCCAGCACTTTGGTAGGCTAAGGCAGGTGGATCACGAGGTCAGGAGTTCAAGACCAGCCTGGCCAGCATGTTGAAACCCCATCTCTATTAAAAATTAGCCGGGTGTAGTGGCAGGTGCCTGTAATCTGAGCTACTTGGGAGGTTGAGGCAAGAGAATTACTTGAACCTGGGAGGAGGAGGTTGCAGTGAACAATGATAAGGAAATGATGCTGTTCTTTGCTTGCTTGTTTGCTTTTTGAGACAGGGTATTGCTCTGTTGCCCAGACTGGAGTGAGATGGTACAATCGTGGCTCACTGCAGTCTCAACTTCCTGGGCTAGTGCAAGCAATCCTTCACCTTAGCGCCCCCGCCTCCAAATAGCTGGGATTACAGGTTCATGGTACCAAGCTTGGCTAATTTTTGTATTTTGTATAGAAACAGGGTTTCACTATGTTGCTAGGCTGGTCTCAAACTTCCAGGCTCAGCTGTCATCCACCCTCAGCCTCCCAAAGTGCTGGGATTATAGGTGTGAGCCACTGTTCCTGGCTATTGCTGTTCTTCTCAAATGCATTTTTACCTTTTTTTTTCTTTTTAGAGATGGAGTCTCAGTGTTTCCTATGCTGAAGAGCAGTGGTGCAATCTTGGCTCACAGCAGGCTGATCTCAAACTCCTGACCTCAGATGATCCACCTGCCTCGGCATCCCAAAGTGCTGGGATTACAGGTGTGAGCCACTGCACCTGGCAATTTTGCTCATTTTAAATATTAGAACTTTTTTTTTTTTTTGAGGAGTCTTGCCCTGTTGCCTAGGCTGGAGTGCAGTGGCATGATCTCAGCTCACTGCAACCTCCACCTCCTGGATTCAAACAATTCTCCTGCCTCAGCCTCCCAAGTAGCTGGGATTACCAATGCCTGCTACCACATCCAGCTCATTTTTGTATTTTTTTAGTAGAGACGGGGTTTCACCATGTTGGCCAGGCTGGTTTTGAACTCCTGACCTCAAGCAATCTACCCACCTTGGCCTCCCAAAGTGTTGGGATTACAGTCATGAGCCACCATGCACAGATGATACTAGAACTTTCTAATTTAAAAAAAGTTTTTTTTTGAGCTGGGGTGCAGTGGCATGCTCTTGGCTCACTGCAACCCCTGACTCCCAGGTTCAAGCCATTCTCCTGCCTCAGCCTCTTGAGTAGCTGGGAATGCAGGTACATGCTATCAGGCCCAGCTAATTTTTGTATTTTTAGTAGAGATCGGGTTTCACCATGTTGGCCAGGATGGTCTTGATATCTTGACCTCGTGATCCACCAGCCTTGGCCTCCCAAAGTGCTGGGATTACAGGTGTGAGCCACCACCCCTCGCCTAAAAAAGTTTCTTTTTGAGACAGAGTCTCACTCTTACACACAGGCTGGAGTACAGTGGGACAGGATTCCTATATGTACTCCTGTGGGTGGTTTGAATAAGCTAGGACCTCAACATGATGGGAGGTTAAATTTTTTTGGAGACAGGGTTTTACTTTTTCACCAGGCTGGAGTGTGGTGGCAAGATCATAGCTCACTGCAGCCTCAAACTCCCAAGCTCAAGCAAACAAGGGAGGCTGAGGCAGAAGAATCACTTGAATTCGGGAGCTGCAGTTTGTGATGAGCCAAGATCGCACCATTGCACTCCAGCCTAGGCAACATGAGTGAAACTCCAACTCAAAAAACAGTGTTTTATGGTGGAGCACAGTGGCTCATGCCTGTAATCCCAATGCTTTGGGAGGCCAACATGGGAGGATCAGTTGAGGCCAGGAGTTACAAACCAGTGTGGGCAACATAGCAAGACCCCATCTCTACTAAAAATACAAAATTAGCCAGGCACAGTGGCACACACTGTAATCCTAGCTATTCAGGAGGCCAAGGCGGAAGAATTGCCTGAGACCAGGAGTTCAGAACTACAATGAGCTATGATTGTGGCACTGCACTCCAGCCTAGGTGACAAAGACAGACCCTGTCTCTTAAGAAAAATAATGATAAGATTGTGTTTTACCCTCTGTTCTCTGACCTTCTGCTTTCCTGAGGATGTCAGCATCCATGTGGATGAGCATGCAATCTGCCTGACTCACTATGCCACGTCTTCCTCAGTTCTAATGACCCTTTCTTCCACTCCCCTTAGACCACCACAGGAACGGCTCTTGTGACATCTTTTAGATGGCTAGATGTGTGAAATCTTAAACTCCAACTTTCTTTTTACTTGTTCTCTGTGGCAGATTATAGGTTCCAAGTTGGCTGCAACAAGTTCTGTCATCCTGTGTGCCCCTCTTTTTTTAATTTTTAGATTTTTTTATTTTTTCAATTTTTGTTTATTTATGTTTTGAGACTAGAGTCTCACTCTGTCACCCAGGCTGGAGTGCAGTGGTGTGATCTTGGCTCACTGCAACCTCCATCTCCTGAGTTCAAGCAACTCTCCTGCCTCAGCCTCCTGAATACCTGGGATTACAGGCATGTGCCACCATGCCTGTCTAAATTTCGTGTTTTTAGTAGAGATGGGGTTTCACATTGTTGGCCACGCTTGTCTCGAACTCCTGACCTCAGATGACCTGCCTGCCTCAGCCTCCCAAAGTGTCTTGATTACAGACCTGAGCCACCACGCCTGGCCTAACTTTTAAATTTTTAAAAGAGGAAGCAATAGACACTGTGGACTACTAGATGGGAGGGAGGGAAGAGGGGTATGGGTTGAAAAACTACAAATTATGTGCTATGCTCACTACCTGTGTGCAAAATACACTTGTAACAAAACTTCACGTGTACCCCCTGTATCTAACACAAAAGTTGAGAACTGGTACAATGGCTCACGTGTAATCCCAGCACTTTGGGAGGCCAAAATGGGTGAATCACTTGAGCTCAGGAGTTCAAGACCAGCCTGAGCAATGTGGTAACACCCTGTCTCTACAAAAAATACAAGAATTAGCCAGGCATGGTGATGTGCACCTATAGTTCCAGATACTCAGGAGGCTGAGGTGAAGATTGCTAGAGCCCAGGAGGTCAAGGCTACAGTGAGCCATGATCACACCACTGCCCTCCAGCTTGAGTGACAGAGTGAGACCCTGTTTCAAAAACAATAACAGTAAATTAAAAGTTGAATTTTTGTTTTGAGACAGTCTTGCTCTGTCGCTCAGGCTGGAGTGCAGTGGCACAGCGTGGGCTCACTGCAATTTCTGCCTCCTGGGTTCAAGTGATTCTTCTGCCTCAGCCTCCTGAATAGCTGGGATTACAGGTGTGCACCACCATGCCCAGCTAATTTTTGTATGTTTAGTAGAAACAGGGTTTCACCCTGTTGGCCAGGCTCATCTCGAAGTCCTGACCTTAAGTGATCTGCCTGCTTCAGCCTCCCAAAGCGCTGGGATTACAGGTATAAGCCACTGTGCCTAGCCAAAAGTTTGATTTTTTTTCCCCCCCTCTTGATATGGACTCTCACTCTGTCATCTAGGCTGGAGTGCAATGGCACCATCTTGGCTCACTGCAAACTCCGTCTGCTGGTTTCAAGCGATTCTCCTACTTCAGGCTCCCGAATAGCTGCGATTATAGGCATGCATCACTGCAGGCCAGGTAATTTTTGTATTTGTACTAGAGACAAGGTTTTGCCATATCGTCAGGCTAGTCTAAAATTCCCAACCTCAGTTGTTCACCCGCCTTGGCCTCCCAAGGTGCTGGGATCATAGGGAATTTCTTTTTTTTTTTTGAGAGGGAGTTCACTCTGTCACCCAGGCTAGAGTACAGAGATGTGATCTCAGTTCACTACAACCTCCACCTCCTGGTCCAAGTGATTCTCCTGCCTCAGCCTCACAAGTAGCTGGGATTACAGGTGCCTGCCACTGCACCCAGCTAAGTTTTGTATTTTTAGTAGAGACAAGGTTTCATCATCTTGGCCAGGCTGGGATTGAACTCCTGACCTCGTGATCCACCTGCCTCAGGCTCCCAAAGTGCTGGGATTACAGGCAGGAGCCACCACATCTGAACAGTTGAATTTTTTAATAAATAAAACTGAAAAATAAAGTTTGATCTATTTAGGGGGTACAGGTGCAGGTTTTCCATATGCGTATATTGTGGAGTGCTGAGGTTTGGGCTTTGACTGTAGCCATGACCCAAATAGTGAACACTGTACTCAATAGGAGAATTGTCATCCCTCACCCTCCTCCCATCCTCCCATGTATTAGAGTCGCCAATATCTATTGTTCCCCATATGTACCTAGTGTGTAACTCCCACGGGTAAGAACATTCAGTATTTGACTTTGTTTCTGAGTTATTTCACTGAGGATAATGGTCTCCAGTTCTATTGACACTGCTGCAAAAGACATGATTTCATTCTTTTTGCGGCCAAGTCATGTTACATGGTGTATATGTACCACATTTTCTTTATCCAATCATCTGTTGATGGACACTTAGGTTGATTCCATTTTTTGCTCTGAATGGTAGTATCAGTACAGGCACTGGTTTTTCTTTTTTTTCCTTTTGAGATGGAGTTTTACCTTGTTGTCCAGGCTGGAGTGCAGTGCCATGATATCAGCTCACTGCAACCTTCACCTCCCAGGTTCAAGTGATTCTCCTGTCTCAGCCTCCTGAATAGCTGGGACTACAGGTGCGTGCTACCGCACTCAGCTAATTTTTGTATTTTTAGTAGAGATGGAGTTTCATCATATTGGCCAGGCTGGCTCGAATTGCTGAGCTCAGGTGATCCACCAGCCTTGACCTCCCAAAGTCCTTAGATTACAGGCAAGTACAGGTACTTTTTGATATATTGGTTTCTTTCCCTTTGGGTAGATACCCAGTAGTGAGATTGCTGGTTGAATGGCAATTATATTTTTAGTTCTTTGAGAAATCTCCATACTGTTTTCTGTAATAGTTGTACTAATTTACATTCCCACTAAGAGTGTGTAAGCATTCCCTTTTCTCTGCATCTTTGCCAACATCTATTGTTTTAGGACTTTTAATTTTTTATTTATTTTATTTGTTTATTTATTTTTTTGTTAAGGCAGAGTCTTGCTTTGTCACCCAGACTAGAGTGCAGTGGCGCAGTCCCAGGTTCAAGTGATTCTCCTGCCTCAGTCTCCCAAGTAGCTGGGATTACAGGTGTCCACCACCACAGCCAGCTAATTGTTGTATTTTTTTATTGGAGACAGGGTTTCACCATGTTGACCAGGATGGTCTCAATCTCTTGACCTCGTGATCCACCTGCCTCAGCCTCCTAAGTGCTGGGATTACAGGCATGAGCCACCATGCCTGGCCTGTTTTGTATTTTTATAGAGATGGGGGTCTCATTATGTTGCCCAGGCTGGTCTCAAGCTCCTGAGTTCAACTGATCTGCCCACATCAGCCTTTCAAAGTGCAGGGTTATAGGCACGAACCACCACACCTGCCTGCTTTCTGGCTTTTTACTAATAGCACGTGCTAGGTGCCGTGGCTCATGCCTGTAATCCCAGCACCTTGAAAAGCCGAGTCAGGCAGATCACCTGAGGTCAGGAGTTTGAGATCAACCTGGCCAACATGGTGAAACCCCATCTGTACTAAAAGTACAAAAATTAGCTGGGCGTGGTGGCAGGCACCTGTATGTAATCCCAGCTACTTGGGAGGCTGAGGCAGGAGAATCACTTGAACCTGGAAGGTAGACATTACAGTGAGTTGAGATTGCACCACTGCACTCCAGCATGGGTGACAGAGCAGGACTCCCTCACAATAATAATAGCAGCATGTGTTCTTCTTCAGACATGATCTTAGCATTTGTCCCATGATGGAGTCAATTCTGTGCTCCTTCCCCTTGAATTCAAGAATGTCTGTGACTGGCAGAAGTGATTCAAGGTAGGTCATAAATGGTGACACCATTTCTGTGGTCTTCCTGGAATGCTTGCTCTTTGACTCCAGTCACTATGCTGTGAGGAAGCCCAGATCACAGGGAGAGGTCACATCTTGATCTTCCAATCAGCAGTCCCAGCACGGGTTTTAGATGATAGCCAACATCAGTAGCCAGACATGAGACTGAAGAAGGCTTTGCGATGACTCCAACCCCAGTCACTGCAACAGCATGAGAGTCCCTGAGTGAAAAGCACCTACCTGAACCTAGTCAGCACCCAGAACCATGAAAAAAAAGATGATTGTTATTTTTTCTTTTTTAGACGGAGTTTTGCTCTTGTTGCCCAGGCTGGAGTGCAATGGCATGATCTTGGCTCACTGCAACCTCTGCCTCTCAGGTTCAAATAATTCTCTTGCCTCAGCCTCCCAAGTAGCTGGGATTTTTGAATGCATAGGTAGGGCTGGCAAGGAGGAACTTTTAAAAGTGATACCATGTTTCACCAGCAGATGGCAAGCTACACTCAGTTGTGCATGTATGTGACTAAATCTGTACAGAGATTTCAGGCAGAAGACATCAAGAAAGGCCATTTTTTTCTAATTGAAGTAAGAAATCAGAAATCTAATAATGTCTAAGGAGATCTATCCAATTGAGCTTTAATTTGAGTTCATCCTGTTCTAAAGGGGATTGAATTTAGTGGGAGGAACACAGCAATAAGAGGCAGGCTGACTGAGGTTGTACCTGGAAATACCTTCTTGCCCCTGGGGTAGACAGATTTTAAAAGGCTAGAAAGTCATTAGGGCCTCAGCTGAGTGGGCTGATCTTGAATTTTGAATTCATTGATTCATTGATTATGAATTTTGTTCATAATTTTACTGCACTTTAGGCAGTAAAATGTCCTGGGCCATTGTGGCTGAGACAAGTAAAAACTGAAAAATCAGTGGAAAAACTTGGAGCTCAGGGCTGAGAACTGTCACCAGATGAGATACCCAGATGGTGGGGATGTGGGTCTGAATTCAGGGATGGGCTCAGTAAGTAGGCAATGGGACACCTGTGCAGGAAGCACCTTATCCCAACAGCCAAACAGATGAGGATGATCTTGCTGGGATAAGGTCAATGTCTGCATGAATTCCCCCAGATGGAACAGTCCCCATTCTTTAGTACTGTCTCAGTCATGAACCTTGACCCTAATGCCAGAGTCTCTGATGTCCTCACTCAGTGCCTCCAGCTCTGTTCCATGACAGAACACCCAAAGCATTCTTGGTTTCAGCCTAATGCTCTCCAGCACCTTCCTTGGATGCCCTGTGGAAAAGGGACAGATTTTGTAAAATATGCTAGCCTCTATTTGCAGCTCTCTAGCTGGACCGTCTTGTCCCCTTTCTGCACACTGAGGGGTACCCATGACACCAACACCTGTCTGTACTGTATCTGAACCTGCTCACCCATTGGAAGCTAGTTTGGATGACCTCCAAAGCTGGACATTTTATACTTTACAAAAAGGGAGAAAATGGACTCAGCAATTGTCTGTGATTTTTCAGCTCTTGAAATACTTCAATGATATAATCAATACTGTAAATGATTAGAGTTACTGTAAAAATGTTAATGAATTTTTGAAATCCATCAGTTTGAATCAACAATGATATTTTAGATTTCTTTTGGTACCATGATGAAATTTTATTCATAATACATTTTTTTTGCTTAAGGTTTTTATACTTTTAATATTATTCAAGTTCTCATAATTTTGTGAAATTTAGGAATAGTCCTCTGATTATAAGCCCTCTCTGTTAGCTAAATTTAATTGTTAGTATAGTACATTATTTTTCCTTTTCATAGTATGTCATTAAAGTGAGACATAATGGCCATTATAAAGTAGTTCTAATTGAGATACTGCAGACACATGTTTTGGTTATAAAATTTTTCTTATACAAATACCACAACTAATATATTAGACCTATGCTGTAAAGGCAAAATTACACACCATGGCTTTGTACTTGCCATTAATTACCTCCTTGAAAATATTTTCTTACCTTCTAGGAGAAAGAGATTTCTCTCAGGTAGCAGAGCAAATAAATCTATAGTGTTGACATATTCTGTCTTCAATAAATTTGAAATAAAAAAGACATGAAGAGAAATGAAGACAAAAGTCCAAGTTTTAGGGATTAAATCATGTCTGGGTGCCAATTAAAATTGTCAGAGACATTTTGTTGCTTGACACTACTTTATGGATTGTTCTAGAAAATGTAGTGGTCAAATTTTAATATTTTTATGATTGTCATACTGTGATGACTGTGAGAATGAAAATCACAACATCCAACTACAGGGGCCATAATTGACAAGGATTCTATTATATTTCTGTGCTCTAAAATTCATTCCTACCTTTGCAGCAAGACCACATTATCTATGGGTCATCCCCAGTCAGTGACTGAGCACAGGAAGATACTTAGAGCTGTTTCTGGGAGATGAGGGATTTCTTTTACAGGTGACTGGCTCAAGACTCCCAAATAGCCTTGCCAAACCTTCCTTAGACTTTGCAACAGTATGGAATGCTTCCACCCAGCATTCCTTCTCTCTCCCCTCTCTCCTTCACTCATGGTGGGCATCCATTGTGCTCTGATGGCTCCCTAGACCTACCCAGATCCCTCCCCATTCTCTCTCATTGGCATGTTACACATTTAATTCTGTTTTGGTATTAGCTTCTCCGAGGACCCTGATGAAAACACATATGATCAAGGGAGTAGTTTTCAAGTTAGCATGTCTAAATGACTTTAAAACAAACTACATTCTATATCTATCTCCAATAATATTTTTGTAGTATCTGGTAATTATAAAAGTAACACATGTTCATTAGGCAAAATACAGAAAACATACAAGCCTTGCACTTTTTTGTGCCAACATTTTTTATGATTCAATAGTGGTGGAAGTTTATTTGTGTCACAAAACCTGTCTTACCCTGGCATGTCTTGGGAATGACATTTAAAATTCAGTTTTCATAAATTACTCATAAAACAAACTCTGATACATCTATGCTATGCAACTGCACAATATAAACACACTGTTAGTTTCTTTATGTAGAGAAATTTTCATGCTACCTTACTAAGTTTATTCACCAAAACAGAAAGCAAGCCTGGGAGGATTCACACAAAAATGCTAACTTTGACATTTTGAGTAGCTACTTTGACATTTGGGGTGTTTTTGTTTTATTTTATTGCTTTTCTCTATTGAGTAATAAGGGGGGATATTCCATTGGTATGTAAGGGTTAAGCATCTTCCTTAGGGTACTTTAAAGTAAATACTCTATCTTGGGTATTTCATTCATCTGGAGAACATGAACATGGCATGCTTCCTTATCAGTTAAGTCACAAAGTTGACAATTAACTGATATTGTTGGTTGACATGCCTTTGACTATGATGTAATGTGTCTTTCAGGGTAAAAATGCTTTTCAAAAGTATTTTCCATTAGGAAATGTTAGTATTCACATATGTCAGACTATAATAAGGAACAGAAATTTGTTATCCTACAGCTCTTTTTATGATGGTAAATGAATAGTCCCACTAGCAGCCCAGAGTTAACTGGGCACTTTGGCCTGTCAAATTAAAACTTAGAAAATTTGAGGCCCTGATCTGTCTCTAACTATGTGTGAGAGTCAGACAAATGTTCACACAGCCTTTCTCCAGCAAACGAGATGACTTCTGAGGTCTCTTTCAATCTTTTTATTTCATATTTTCAAATAACCATTTTTGCTTTTTGAATTGGTGATAATAGCAGGTGGAAACTTGTGGTAAAAATGTGCCCTTCTTTTTTACTCAGGGCCTGGTACCCCCAACCAGAAACATCCTTAAGCTAATACAAGTCCAGGGGTTTTGTTGTAAGAATGCGATAGACAATCTTGTCAATACCCAAGAAGAGAAACCAAAAGTGTGGCCAGTCTGCATTGGTTTGAAACTGGAAAGTAAGAACTAAGACTGTTTATTTAAGTTCTTATGTATCTTCAAAGGCGGCAAGGCTGAGAAGGTCTATGGGCAGCTCTGCTATTATTAGTTCATCTAGTTAACCAATTACACTATTACTAAGTTTAATTCATTAAAAAATACAGGAAGTTGCAGAGGCTTTTCTGGCAATTATGAAATCTGTCAATCATCTGTCCATCCTTCCATCCAATCATCTATCCAAAGGTTGCAGAGGCTTTTCCGACAGTTATGAAATCTGTCAATCATCCATCCATCCAAAGCTATATACCTTGAGATGTTCAAATCACTCATTTCCCCAGCTGTTGGGAATGTTGAAAGTGCTGAGAATGTTGTTAACTGACGGCGCACAGACTATGTGAAGAGGTTTGTCCAAGATGGCCACCCATTCCAACTTTAAATATATAACAAATATGGCGAGGGAGAAACAATCTTAGGGGTTGAAAGTTAGCATTTCCATACACCGATGGTCGAAGCGTTCTGGGGCACAATTGACTACATGATTGAGAATTTTTCTTCCTCTGCATACTCCTTGGCCCAAAAATGCTATTAAACAAACTTGTCCCGAGGCACTAATAAAGAATGTGCACAGATGTTTGGCTATTGAGATGTTTATTCAGTATGGTCAGTGAAGAAACAACCTAAGTTTCCAAGAGCAAAGGGTTTGTTGAGTAATGTGTACTACGGAATATAACACAGCTGTTAGAAATGAGGTGGTATCCACTTTTTGACATCAAAACTAATCTCAGTAAAGGACCAAATGAAGGAGGCAGGTTATGAAACACATGTATAGTAGGCTCCTAATTTTATTTGTTCAAATCATTTTGTAAGTGTATAAGAAACATTTGGAGAATTGTCAAAATACCAACAGTGGTTACCTCTGTGTAGTGGTGAGTAGGATTAGATAGGATTTTAATTCCTTTTGACATTGTATGTTTATGAAATGCTTTATAGAGAATACATGTTTGCTGTGTTAGCAAAAGGCCAATAAAATTGTTTTTAAAAATAAATGCCCCCAGTTGTCCATAATTAGGAAATTTGTTGATAAAACACTGCAAGGTAAGTTTTTTTTTTCTGATTAAAGTATCCCACCTGTCAAGCAATTCTCATTTCAGAGACAGAACCTCAACTTTCTTCTCTGTATACTTATATGTGTCTCCTCTCACATGTATTTAGGTGAGGTCAAAGGACTTTTTTAGTTTAATTTTGTATGGAAATTATGTTATTATGTAGGTCGTCCTTGGATAATAATGGATTATCACGTGATTTTGAAAGCTCTAGAGTCCATCTTATTCTTTCTCAACCCAACCTCTTACCTTCCCAGTTCAGTGATTAGAATTCTGTAGCGCCTGAGTCAAGAAAAATGGAAAGAGCTTTATTGAGATAATTCAAATAATTCAGATAAAATGAGAATGATAGTCTATTATGGCATTTGCAGTAGATGTTCCTGGAATGGAGATATGTAAAAATTTTCCCCCAGACTCCTGCCATATGTAATCATTCAGTACAACCAGTCTGTTCAAAAATAAGTTAATCAATTTTCCATCTAAATCCATATGTCTCTAGGAGAGTGGAGCAGCAAATCTATTTAACAAAGTCAGACATAAATGGGCTAAATTTAGGTGCTCCAAACTTGGAAATAAGATTAAGGTCTGTGATTGGAAATATAAGACCAAAACCTAATGAATGGATAAATTAGCTATTTAGAGATATATACCACAGAAAGAGAGGATCTTCAAGTTTGGGGCTAAAAAACTGGAGAAATCATGAAGTCCAGTGAAGGCAAGACTGCCACTGAATTACAGTCTCATCAGTTACATCAGAATTGGGCAGATGTAAAAGAACACTGGAATGTTGCCATTTTGTCTGAAGACAAAGCGTTTTAGCCAAAGGAAGTTGGTTTACGTGGAGTTTAGTTAGGGAATCTAAAACCAAAGATTTGGCAGTGTTTCTCTAACTGTGTCCAGAAGAGAAAGACATGGAATCTGGCAGTCATATACAGAATATTCAGGACAATTATGAGATTAAAGTCATGTGCTGTTATTTCGGCTGAGATTCAGAAATATTTCACTTTACCTGTCAAGGATTCACAACTGAGCAAGCTCAGGTGACAAAGCAAAGCAAGTCATCATGGTTACTTAGCTGGAGCACTGGCTCCAAGCACTTCTGTGGACCTCTGATCAAGTGGAGGAAGTGGGGGCCAAATTAACCACAAGCCAGAGCAGGCTAAGTTACTAGTTCTGTCTATTCTATTGCAATTCCCAACACAGGTAGATCTTACCACTCCTGGTTCAGCAAAAGGGCATAGAGAGTAGACCCACTGGCAATAGAGGAAAAGGAACAAGAATGAGGAAGGAAGTTTGTGCCTTGGTCCCAGTGCTGCCTTTCCCAGACCTTGGATGGTCAAAGCAGTAGAACCTGCCTGAGAGGAACACCCACAACAGACAGATTTGGCCAGGCAGAATCCAATTAACTCAGAATGATTCCCTCTAGACTAGGTGGATTTTCTTCTGATTAGAAATTTTACTTCTCAAGTAGTTTTTCAGTCATAACCAAATATCCAAAATGGCAGATGTAAGTATTCCACTCACTGGAAAGGTTTCCAAACACCACTGAGAAATAATGCATGGTTTTTCTGGTTTATTTCCCAGTCTCCTAAGTTAAACTGCTTAGTACATGTCAGTCTGTGAGGAAGGCTGTGCAGTGTAGTAGAAAGGATGAGGGTTTGAATCGTATGTACCTGAGTTCAAATGCTGATTCAGTCCCTTCTTACCGTTCTGTTATCTTGGGCAAGTCATCTGAACAGTCTGTGGTCCTAAGTTTTCTCCATTTCTTACAAACAAACAAACAAAATAGTGCATGGGAGTTAGGGTTAAATGAAATAGCATTTATAAAGCGTGTGGCACACAACTTTGCAAGCTATAAATGCTCAAAATACTAGATGTCTTCTACCTCTGGCTTCTTTCCCTTAAGATCCTGACAAATCCTCCATGGACCAGCAAAAATCACACCTGCATGACTAGGAATCTGCTATGGATTAGAGCTGGGTCCTGGACACCTGCAAAGGAAGTGCCCTCTGTGGACTCCCCTGGACCCATCAGCTGGACCATTCCCTAAGGTGTCTCTGCCTGTTCCTCATGGCTCACACCCAGGTGCAGAAATGTGCGCCCAACCCTAGCCACGCTCAGGTAACATCAGGTATGATATACATGTAGTTTTAAAAAAGCAGTAACTTCCCCTTAATAAATACACCTCATGAGGCCTGGCATTTTGCACATAACATTTTAAAGATAGAAGAAAATAAAAGTAGTCTCAACCTCAGTCTACATCAATGAGCACTTGCTTTGTGTCAGGTTCTCTCCAGAGATTTATACTGATTATTTTATTCAAGCACAAAAAGCACCTTTGAATTAGATACTATCATTATTATGCCCATCTCATAGATTAGAAGACAGAAGTCCATATCAAATGCTCTTGACTTGATAATATTCAACTATGATTCTATTTACTGGGTACACGCTATTTGTGGATTACTTAAATAAGTCATATTGAGTAAGTGAAAAAAAGACTGAGGAATAAATTAAAACACATTTCTCTGAAATTGAATTTGAATTATATGAGCTGAAAATAAAACTTTCAGTATCAACTTTGTTACATTGCCTGTGGGCTTTTAGGCTACAATGAAACCTCATCTTTTCCCAAACTTCATGGTCAGTCACACTTCCATTTAAGCACAAAAGAAAGTATAAAGTCACAATATATAAAGTTCTTTTTTGGCACTGGAAGCAAGACATGCCCATCAGCAGTTTGCCAACCTGTATGAGGATTATCATTAACTGGCCATCAAAGGTCATCAACACGGTCATGACCATTCCAATTCCAGGCTTTGAAAAGTACCAGGGCAAGCAGGAGTAAGGTAGAAAAATGTTTCCACCCACTGTTGCCACTTCTGTCATAAGTCTGGCCCATCATTCAGCAGGCTAGCAGTCATCTCCTTTACTGAGACAGAGGTACTCATGGCAACTGAAGCCACCCCTTTATCCTCAGTTTTCACCCAACTCCTCTTCAATAGCACTTCTTTCCCTGAATCAGTGTCAGATAATACAAATTGTAGTATTATTATTCCAAGAGTGAAATAGGACAGGTAATGGGGCCATTGTTACCAGTTCATGAAGTCTGAAAAAGAGAGAAAAATATCTGAAGATTGTAGTTTTCAGGCTCAAGAAATACCACTTCCTCCAAATGATCAGGAACCCATTCATTTATTGAGCATTACTGAGGCCCCCCTACATGCAAGACGTTCTTCTAGGCACTGAGGATACAGTCAAGGACAAAGTCTTCCCTTTGGGGAGCCTGCATTCTGCTGGTGGGGGGAGACAACACACAGACAATTTAAAAAGCAAGAGAGTGACAAGAATTACCCAGAAAATGGAAAGAGGGTGATGGGATAGAGTGAAAAAATAGCTCCTTATGATGAAGAGAAAAACTGAGGACCTAGAGCTGGATATTTTTTTTTTGAAACAGAATCTTGCTCTTTGCCCAAGCTCTAGTGCAGTGATGCAATCTCAGCTCACAGCATCCTCTGCCACCCGGGTTCAAGCGATTCCCCTGCCTCAGCCTCCTGAGTAGCTGGGACTGCAGGTGCCACCAGACCCAGCTAATTTTTCTGTATTTTAGTAGAGACAGGGTTTCACCATATTGGCCAGGATTATCTTGATCTCCTGACCTCATGATCCACCTGCCTCGGCTGGGATTACAGGTGTGAACCACCACTCCCAGCCTGAGCTGGATAAATATTTTAGACTTGATACCAAAAGCATGACCCATAAAAATTTTGATAAATCAGAATTCATCAAAATTGAAAACCTAGGTTCTGTGAAAGACTATCTTAAGAGGATGAAATAATAAAATACAAACCAGTAGAAAAGACAGTCATTCCTGGGAGACATTGCAGGTTCTGTTCTGGACTACCACAAGATAAGCAAATAGGGAAATAAAGCCAGTTATGTAAGTTTTTTGGTTTTCCAGTGCACACAGAAGTTGTGTTACACATATTACAGTCTATTAAGTGTGCGATTGCATTGCCTCTAAAACAAAATTCCTTAATTTTTAAATACCATACTGCTAGCTAGCTGCCATGACTCATGCCTGTAAATGTCACTTTAGGGGTTAAGATGGGAAGATCACTTGAGCCTAGGAGTTCAAGACAGCTTGGGCAACATAGTGAGACCCAGTCTCTACCAAAGAAAACAAAAGTTTCTTAAATTAGCTGAGTGTGGTGGCAAGCGCCTGTAGTACCAGCTACTCAAGAAGCTGAGGTGGGAGGATCACTTTAGCCCAGGAGTTAGAGGCTGGTGTGATCTAGCCTCTGCACTAGACCCTGGGTGACACAGCAAGATTGAGCCACTGCACTGGAGTCTGGGTGACAGAGCGAGACCCTGTCCATAAAAAAATTAAATAAATAAAATATTGCTAACAAATGCTATGGAAAAGCTGAGCCTTCAGTGAGTCCTACATAATCTCCTTGCGGCTTTGATGATGACGGCTGCCAAGGGTGATGGTTGCTAAGTAGCTGGCCATTTCTGAAAATAAAATATCAGTGAAGTTTGATAGACTGACTCTTCTTTTCATGAAGCTTCTCTGCAGCATGGAGTGCTGTTTGATATTTTACCTGCCATAGAAACTACTTTCAAAATCATCTGAAATCCTTCTGTGGCTTTGTCAAGTTTCTGTGCTATTCTGAGTCCTTTTTGTCATTTCAACCATGTGCACAGCATCTCACCAGGAGTAGGTTCCTTCTGAAGTAGTCACTTTCTCTGCTCATCCGTAAGAAGCAACTCCTCATCTATTCAATTTCAATCCTGAGGATGCAGCAATGCAATCCCATCTTCAGGCCTCACCTCTCATTCTAATGCTCTTCCTATTTCCACCACATCCACAGTTACTTCCCCCACAGAAGTCCTGAACCTCTCAAAGTCACCCATAAAGGTTGGAATCCACTTCTTCCAAACTCCTGTGCATGGGATATTTTGACCTCATCCCATGGATCACACATGTGCTAGATGTCTAATTACATCTAGAATGGTGATCCTTTTCTAGGAGGTTTTGAATTTACTCTGCCTAAACCCATCAGAGGAATCAATATCTGTGGCAGCTGTAGCCATATAAAATGTATTTCTTAATGAGAATTGGAAGCCAGAATTACTTCTTGACCCTTGGGCTGCAGAATGAATGTCATGTTAGCAGACGTGGAAATGACATTCATCTCCTTGTACATCTCCATCAGAGCTCTTGGGTGATGAGGTGCATTGTCAATGAGCAGGAACATTTTGAAACGAAGCTTTATTCCTGAGCAGTAGGTCTCACAGTGGGCTTGAAGTGTTCAGCAAATCATGCTGTAAGTAATGTACTGCCATCCAGGCTTTGTTTTTCCATTTATATTTTCATTTGTATTTGTTAAAATAAACAAGATTTCTTTCACCATCTTGTCCAGGATGGTCTCGATATCCTGACCTGAGGTGATGTACCCGGCTCAGGTTCCCAATTGGTGGGGGATTAAAAGCATCAGATACCAAGCAGGGCTATTTGTTTATTGATTTATTTATCTATCTAGTAATCGATTTATTTAGGGGTAGACTCACCATTATTTATTTATTTCCTGATGTACTTATTCATGGAGAAGCAGGTCACATTTATTTATTTATTATTTATTTATTTGGAGGCAGGCTTGGATTTATGAATTTATCTAGCTATCTAATTATTTAGAGGTAGGCTCACATTTATTCATTTATTTATTGAGACCCAGGATCGCAACATTTATTTATATACTTACATATTTGTGTGCCAGCTTGCATTTATTTATTTCCTTAACCATCTGTATAATGATTTATAGGCAGGCTCACGTTTATTTATTTATTTATTTTTTAGAAGGAGTCTTCCTCTGTCACCAGGCTGGAGTGCAGAGGCAAAATCTTTGCTCACTGCAACCTATGTCTCCTTGGTCAACTGATTCTTCCGCCTCAGCCTCCGGAGTAGCTGAGACCACAGGCCTGTGCCACCACTCCTGGCTAATATTTTTATATTTTTTTCTTTTTTTTTCTTTCTTTTATCTTTTTCTTCATGCAGTGCAAGAAAGGAATATTTTTGTATTTTCATTAGAGACAGGATTTCACCATCTTGACCACCATGGTCTCGATCTCTTGACCTCCGGATCTGCCCATCTCGGCCTCCCAAAGTGCTGGGATTACAGGCCTGAGCCACCGTGCCTGGCCTTTAGGTATTGACTGACTTTTTTTATAGTAAAACAGAGTCTTTATTATGTAGTTAGAGTAGTAAGTTAGGATGCATCCCCTGACTTCTAGGGGATACTTCATGGAAGAGCTGGAGAGAGACTCCCATCTAGTAAGTACATCTCTCTTCTTTTTGTAAATGTAGAAATTGAGGCCCCAAAGTTCACATTACTATTGACTGAAGTGGGGTTTGAACTCCCAGCTCACGATTGACCCTCACCTGCTTGCTTCTCCTTGCCCTTTGGAAGCTTTGGTGCTGAACCAGACTCCCATCTATAAGCTCACATGGTCAAATGGAGCTGAAATTGGTTGTACTTGGAGAGGTGGCAGAATATCATTAATGAGGCTATAGAGTGGGTCATAAATGCCAGGCTGCTTCTTTGCAGTCACCCAGTCTCTGTAGCCACTGGGGCTTATTGACTCTAAGCCATGATTTTTTTTGACATGAAGTTGACGACCTTTTGGAAGATTTAATCAGCTGCTCTTCCAGGAAAGATGGCTTAATATGCCAAATATTAAACTTACTGTGTCTTAGAATCACAAAATTTCAAAATGGAAAGTATTAGGTTTTCTAGGCCAACATTCTTGCTTTATATATTTGGGATGAGATAACAGTTTCCTCAAATTTCTAGTGGCCTCTATTTGAAGTTTGATAGGTGGCTAGCCTGTTAGTTGTTTACCTGTTTTATTGTTCCTGATGTCTTTAACTGAATACTGGGCATGTTGCACTCTTCTGCAAACTAAACTAGGGCAATGGTGTTGATGTCTACTGATCTGATCAGTGGTTTGGGATAATTTTACTCTTTCCATTGATAAATTCTACTTCAGAGTAGCCTTTTAGAAAGGATGAAAAGCTCTAAATTTCCTCCATTGCTTTTTTATGTGATACTAGAGAGGAATGATACATCTTCCTGGTACAGTGGAAAGCTACATCTAGGTTGGTCATAATTTTTACAGTAACTCTTCTTCCTTCACACAGGGCTAGTCTTCTCAGTGCTTAAATCTAGGTGTCAGGTCTCATTCCTGTGTATGTATGTATTTTATTTTATTTCTTTTTTTCAGACAAGGCCTGGCTCTGTCACCCAGGCCAGAGTGTAGTGGTACTCACTGCATTCTCTGACTCCTGGGCTCAACCCATCCTCTCACCTCAGCCTACTGAGTAGCTGGGACTACAGGCAAGTGCCACCATGCCCAGCTAATTTTTGTATTTTCTATAGAGCCAGGGTTTTGTCATGTCACTCAGACTGGTCTGAGCTCAAGCAGTCCTCCCACCTCAGCCTTCCAAAGTGCTGGGATTACAGGTGACAGCCACCACACCTGGCCTTCTGTATTTCTTAAGATCTCAAATTCTGGAGGCACATGAAATATGCTCATTGATATTCCATTTTGGCAGTGAATTTGATAGGCATGACAAATTTGGTTGTGCATTAAAATATAGTGACTTTTCCGATTGTGAAAGTAATTCCTCTTTTAATTTTTATTATTGTTTATTTTTTTATTGCATTTTAGGTTTTGGGGTACCTGTGAAGAACATGCAAGATTGTTGCATAGGTACACACATGGCAGTGTGAATTGCTGCCTTCCTCCCCTTCACCTATATGTGGCATTCCTCCCCATGCTATCTCTCCCCAACTCCCCACCCCCCTCTGTCCCTCCCCATTTCCCCCCAACAGACCCCGGTGTGTGATGCCTCCCTCCCGGTGTCCACGTGTTCTCATTGCTCAACACTCACCTATGAGTGAGAACATGCAGTGTTTGATTTTCTGTTCTTGTGTCAGTATGCTGAGAATGATGGTTTCCAGGTTCATCCATGTACCTACAAAGGGCATGAACTCATCATTTTTGATGGCTGCATAATATTCCATGGTGTATATGTGCCACATTTTCCCTGTCCAGTCTATCATCGATGGGCATTTGGGTTGGTTCCAGGTCTTTGCTATTGTAAACAGTGCTGCAATGAACATTCGTGTGCATGTGTCCTTATAGTAGAATGATTTATGATCCTTTGGCTATATACCCAGTAATGGGATTGGTGGGTCAAATGGAATTTCTATTTCTAGGTCCTTGAGGAATTGCCACACTGTCTTCCACAATGGTTGAACTAATTTACACTCCCACCAACAGTGTAAAAGTGTTCCTATTTCTCCACATCCTCTCCAGCATCTGTTGTCTCCAGATTTTTTAATGATCGCCATTCTAACTGGCATGAGATGATATCTCAATGTAGTTTTGATTTGCATTTCTCTAATGACCAATGATGATGAGTATTTTTTCGTATGTTTGTTGGCTTCATGTATGTCTTCTTTTGTAAAGTGTCTGTTCATATCCTTTGCCCACTTTTAAATGGGCTTGTTTGTTTTTTCCTTGTAAATTGTTTTAGTTCTTTGTAGATTCTGGATATAGGCCCTTTGTCAGATGGGTAAACTGCAAAAATTTTTTCCCATTCTGTTGATGGCTGATTCACTCTAATGATTGTTTCTTTTGCTGTGCAGAAGCTGTGGAGTTCAATTAGGTCCCATTTGTCTATTTTCGCTTTTGTTGCCAATGCTTTTGGTGTTTTGGTCATGAAGTCCTTGCCTACGCCTATGTCCTGAATGGTTTTGCCTAGATTTTCTTCTAGGGTTTTTATGGTGCCAGGTCTTATGTTTAAGTCTTTAATCCAACTGGAGTTAATTTTAGTGTAAGGTATCAGGAAGGGGGCCAGTTTCTGCTTTCTGCACAAAGCTAACCAGTTTTCCCAACACCATTTATTAAACAGGGAATCCTTTCCCCATTGCTTGTTTTCATCAGGTTTGTCGAAGATCAAATGGTTGTAGATGTATTGTGCTGCCTCTGAGGCCTCTGTTCTGTTCCATTGGTCTATATCTCTGTTTTGGTACCAATACCATGCTGTTTTGATTACTTTAGCCTTGTAGTGTAGTTTGAAGTCTGGTAGTGTGATGCCTCCTGTTGTGTTCTTTTTGCTTAGAATTTACTTGGCTATGTGGGCTCTCTTTTGGTTCCATATGAAGTTTAAGGTGGTTTTTTCCAGTTCTGTGAAGAAGGTCATTGGTAGCTTGATGGGGATAGGGTTGAATCTGTAAATTACGTTGGGCAGTATGGCCGTTGTCACAATACTGATTCTTCCTAATCATGAACATGGAATGTTTCTCCATCTGTTTGTGTCCTCTCTTATTTCATTGAGCAGTGGCTTCTAGTTCTCCTTGAAGAGGTCCTTTACATTCCTTGTTAGTTGTATTTCTAGGTATTTTATTCTCTTTGTAGCAATTGTGAATGGCAGTTCGTTCTTGATTTGGATTTCTTTAAGTCTGTTATTGGTGTATAGGAATGCTTGTGATTTTTGCACATTGATTTTGTATCCTGAGACGTTGCTTATCAGTTTCAGGAGATTTTGGGCTGAGACGATGGGGTCTTATAGATATACTATCATGTCATCTGCAAATAGAGACAATTTGGCTTCCACCTTTTCTATTTGAATACCCTTTATTTCTTTTTCTTGCCTGATTGCTCTGTCTAGAACTTCCAGTACTATATTGAATAGGAGTGGTGAGAGAGGGCATCCTTGTCTAGTGCCAGATTTCAAAGGGAATGCTTCCAGTTTTTGCCCATTCAGTATGATATTGGCTGTTGGTTTGTCATAAATAGCTTTTATTATTTTGAGATACATTCCATTAATACCCAGTTTATTGAGGGTTTTAGCATAAAGAGCTGTTGAATTTTGTCAAAGGCCTTCTCTGCAGCAATTGAGATAATAATGAGGCTTTTGTCTTTCATTCTGTTTATGTGGTGAATTACGTTTATAGACTTGCATATGTTGAACCAGCCTTGCATCCGCAGGATGAATCCTACTTATCATGGTGGATAAGCATTTTGATGTCCTGTTACAATCAACTTGCCAGTATTTTATTGACGACTTTTACATCTATGTTCACCATGGATATTGGCCTGAAGTTTTCTTTTCTTCCTGAGTCTCTGCCGGGTTTTGGTATCAGGATGATGTTGGTCTCATAAAATGATTTGGGAAGGATTCCCTCTTTTTAAATTGTTTGGAATAGTTTCCGAAGGAATGGTACCAGCTCCTCTTTGTATGCCTAGTAGAATTTGGCTGTGACCCATATGGACCTGGGCTTTTCTTGGGTGGTAGGCTCTTAATTGCTGCCTCAACTTCAGACCTTGTTATTGGTTTATTCAGAGTTTTGACTTCTTCCTGGTTTAGACTTTGGAGGGTGCAAGTGTCCAGGAATTTATCCATTTCATCCAGGTTTACTAGTTTATTTGCATAGAGTTGTTTGTAACAATCTCTGATGATGGTTTGTATTTCTGTGGAATGTGTGGTGATATCCCCTTTATCGTTTTTTATTGCATCTATTTGATTATTCTTTCTTTTCTTTTTTATTAATCTGGCTAGTGGTCTGTCTATTTTGTTGATATTTTCAAAAAACCATCTCCTGGATTTATTGATTTTTTGAAGGATTTTTGTGTCCCTGTCTCCTTCAGTTCTGCTCTGATCTTAGTTATTTCTTGTCTTCTGCTAGGTTTTGAGTTTTTTTTATCTTGCTACTCTAGCTCTTTCAATTTTGACGATCAAGTGTTGATATTAGATCTCTCCTTGCTTTTCCTGTGGGCATTTATTGCTATATATTTTCCTCTAGAGACTGTTTTAAATGTGTCCCAGAGATGCTGGTTTGTTTTGTCTTCATTCTTGTTGGTTTTGAAGAACATCTTTATTTCTGCCTTCATTTCATTGTTTATCCAGTAAACATTCAAGAGCCAGTTGTTCAGTTTCCATGAACCTGTGCAGTTCTGAGTTAGTTCTGAATTCTGAGTTCTAACTTGATTGCACTGTGGTCTGAGAGACTGTTATGATTTCCATTCTTTTGCATTTGCTGAGAAGTGATTTACTTCCAATTATGTGGTCAATTTTAGAGTAGGTGTGATGTGGTGCTGAGAAGAACGTATATTCTGTGGATTTGTGGTGGAGGGTTCTGTAAATGTCTATTAGCTTTGCTTGGTCCAGCTCTGAGTTCAAATCCTGGATATCCTTGTTAATTTTCTGTCTGGTTGATCTCATAAAATGATTGGGAAGGATTGTCTAATATTGACAATGGGGTGTTAAAGTCTCCCACTATTATTGTGTGGGAGTCTAAGTCTCTGTAAGTCATTAAGAACTTGCCTTATGTATCTGGGTGCTCCTTTATTGGGTGCATATATAGTTAGGATTGTTAGCTCTTCTTGTTGCATTGATCCTTTTACCATTATGCAATGTCCTTCTTTGTCTCTTTTGATCTTTGCTGCTTTAAAGTCTATTTTATCAGAGATGAGAATTGCAGCTCCTGCTTTTTGTTTTCTCTTCATTTGCTTAGTCAATCTTCCTCCATCTCTTTATTTTGAGCCTTTATGTATCCTTGCATGTGAGATGGGTTTCCTGGATACGGCACACTGATCGGTTTTGGCTTTTTATCCAATTTGCCAGTCTGTGTCTTTTGATTGGTGCATTTAGCCCGTTTACATTTAGGGTTAATATTTTTATGTGTAAATCTGATCCTGCCATTTTGATGCTATCTGGCTGTTTGGCAGCTGATGCAGTTTTTAGTTGATGCAGTTTCTTCATCGTGTTTATGCTCTTTACCATTTGGTATGTTTTTGGAGTAGCTGGTACTGGTTGTTCCTTTCTATGTGTAGTGCCTCTCAGGAGCTCTTGTAAAGGAGGTCTGGTGGTGATGAAATCTCTGAGTACTTGCTTGTTCTCAAAGGATTTTATTTTTCCTTCACTTATGAAGCTCAGTTTGGCTGGATATGAAATTCTGCATTGAAAGTTCTTTTCTTCAAGGATGTTGAATATTGGCCCCCACTCTCTTCTGACTTGTAGGGTTTCTGCTGAGAGATTTGCTGTGAGTCTGATGGGCTTCCCTTTGTGGGTAACCTGACCTTTCTCTCTGGCTGCCCTTAGCATTTTATCCTTCATTTCAAAACTGGTGAATCTGACAATTATGTGCCTTGAGGTTGCTCTTCTTGAGGAATATCTTTGTGGTGTTCTCTGTATTTCCTGGACTTCAATATTGGCCTGCCTTGCTAGGTTGGGGAAGTTTTCCTGGATAATATCCTGAAGAGTATTTTCCAGCTTGGATTTATTCCCTCCGTCACATTCAACTACACCTATCAAACGTAGATTAGGTCTTTTCACATAGTCCAATATTTCTAGGAGACTTTGTTCATTTCTTTTTTTTTTTTTAATTTTTTTATTGCATTTTAGGTTTGGGGGTACATGTGCAGAACATGCAAGACAGTTGCATAGGTATACACATGGCAGTGTGTTTTGCTTCCTTTCTCCCCTTCACTCACATTTGGCATTTCTCCCCAGGCTATCCCTCCCCACCTCCCCCTCCCACTGGCTCTCCCCTTTTCCTCCCAATAGACCCCAGTGTTTAGTACTCCCCTCCCTGTGTCCATGTGTTCTCATTTTTCATCACCCGCCTATGAGTGAGAATATGCGGTGTTTCATTTTCTGTTCTTCTGTCAGTTTGCTGAGAATGATGTTCTCCAGAATCATCCATGTCCCTACAAATGACACAAACTCATCATTTCTGATCTTTTTGCGCTTTTTTCTTTAATCTTGCCTTCTCACTTTATTTCATTGAGTTGATCTTCGACCTCTGATATCCTTTCTTCTGCTTGGTCAATTCGGCCTTTGAAACTTATGTATGCTTCATGAAGTTTTTGTATTATGTTTTTCAACTCTATCAATTCACTTATATTCCTCTCTACGTTGTCTATTCCCATTAGCATTTCATCAAATCTTTTTTCAAGGTTCTAAGTTTTTTTGCATTGGGTTAGAACATGTTCTTTTAGCTCACTGAAGTTTCTTATTAGCCACCTTCTGAAGCCTGATTCTGTCAATTCATCACACTCATTCTCCATCCAACCTTCTTTCCTTGCTGGTGAGGAGTTGTGATCACTTGTAGGAGGAGAGGTGTTCTGGTTTCGGGTGTTTTCACTTTTTTCGTGCTGGTTTCTTCACATCTTTGTGGACTTATCCCCCTGTCATCTTTGTAGTTGTTGACTTTCGGATTGGGTCTCTGAGTGGACGTCCAGTTTGTTGATGATGAAGTTATTTCTTTGTGTTTCTTAGTTTTCCTTCTAATAGTCTGGCCCCTCTGCTGTAGGACTACTGAGGTCCACTCCAGGCCCTGCTTGCCTGGGGATCAACTGCAGTGGCTACAGAACAGTAAGGGTTGCTGCCACTTTTTTCTTCCACTATCTTTGTCCGAGAATGATACCCACCAAATGTCAGTCTGAGCTCTCCTTTATAAGGTGACTCTTTGGATATACACAGGTCAGGAAGCTGCTTGAGGAGACAGTCTGTCCTTTATAGGAGCTCAAGTGCTGAGCTATGAGCTCCATTGTTCATTCAGAGCTACTGGGCAGGTACATTTAAGTCTGCTGCAGCAGAATTCATAAACCCCTTTTTTTCCCAGGTGTTCTGTCCCAGGGAGTTAGGGCTTTATTTATGAGTTTCTGTTGTGCTGCTGCCTTCTTTTCAGGGCTTCCCTGCCCAGCGAGGAGGCAGCTTAGTCACTGTCTGCCTGCAGAGGCTTTGCTGAGCTGCTGTGGGCTCTGTCCAGCTGGCATGTGTACTTCCCTGCAGTCCTGTTTATACGGGTATAGTTAGAACTGCCTCAGCAATGGTGGCCCACCTCTGTAATGGTGGACTCTCTCTGTCATGGTGGGTTGCCTTGGCAACAACAGGCTGCCTCAGCAATGGTAGACTACCTCTGTAGTGGTGGAGTCCCTTGGTAATGGCAGACACCCTTCCTCCACAAAGCTGGACCTTCCTGGGTTCAGCTGTGCTTGCTGTGAAACTCTCAACCCAGAGCATTTCTAATTGCTGTTTTTTTCTGGGGGTGGTACCAGCTGAGCCTGATCACCTGGCTCCCTGCCTCAGAGCCTTTTTTTTTTTAAGTTGAAAGTTTGGCTCTCTCCCAGGTGTTCCAGTCATCTGTTGAAAAGGTGCTGGGATCTCTGATTTCCCATGCAGCAACCCACTGCATTGGCTGAAACAGTGACACTGAGATTTGTGGCGCTTTTTTGCCCAGGAATCTCCTGGCATGGCTCCCTGTTTCAGTCACCTTTTTAATTAGATGAATGGGTGACTCTGCCTTCCCAGAGCTCCAGTTGCCAGCTAAAATAGTGCCCAGACCCGTATTTTGTATGGAGAACCGCAGCCCTGGGGTGCCAGCAGAACAGCCATGCCAGCCAAACCAGCTGCACTGGCAACCCGTGGGGCTCCTCCAACTGGGAATCTCCTGGTCTGTGGGCAATAAAAATCCATCTGGAAATGTGGTGTCCTCTCACCCTCTGTGCTTTCACTGGGAGCTGCAATCCTGAGCTGCTCCTAATCAGCCATCTTGGATCCCTCCTTTAGAATGTTTCTTAATTCTTCCTTTTCTTCCTCAGGCTTGAATCAAATAGTTTTAAAAAGTATTTTTAAAAATATAGAGACACTTTTCTATCTTAACCTTTATTATTCATAAATTTATTTATTGTGTTTATGAATATTAAGAAATTAAATGTTAAAATATTCTTTAAAAATTAAAGTATTTATTTCCTATGTTTATGAATAATATTGTTTATGAATAATATGTATTTTTCTTTTTCTTAAAAATTAAAATATTTCTTATTTCTTATAAGTTTATGAATAATATTAAGTTTATGAATATATGTATTTAGACAGGTGTGTAAAGTGCATTTTATAAACCTGATGTCAATAAGGACAGACTTCAATAACAATCACTTTTCTTAAAACAGCTAAATATGATTCATACTTTTATTATTAACTTTTCTGAAATTTAAACTACAAATAATTTTTGTTAAAACAGAGGGTTTTTCACATAAAAAACTAAGTGTTGGTAGAAAAAATAATAAGAGTAATTATATTTGCATTTTAGTTCTCAAAGATGCCCTAGAAACAGTCATCAATACTTCAACATATTCCAGGTTGTGTTAAATTACATCTTACTAAGACAATTTTTAGAAAACTCTTATCTGATTCCCATTACATTTTTGATCCTCATCTGTTTTCAGAAGGAGCTAAATACTCTCTTTCTCTATAAATATTCACCCATGGTTTCAGTGTTTCCTTTTCTCCTAACCATTTCTCTTTAAATAAAGTTTAATTCTTCTCTATAACAAAACAACTTCTGTCTAATTTTTGAAGCTTTTCTATTGTCCTGTTTCTCCCCTTCCATTGAACTTTATAACATATAGTGTCATTCAGAAATCTATTTCTCATCACTTATTGTCTTATTTTGGAAAGGCTGTGAGACATCAAGCACTTTACCTTGCTTTACTTGGCAGCAACTGTGAGCAGTGACCAAACACTCCCGTCTCTAAATGCAGCAACCTCTAATGTTTAGTCCTATCCCTTTCTTTTGCTCTTTTTAAATTATCCCAGAGCTCCTTAAATCTCAAAACTCTCACCCAGATTCCCTAATTTACATTTCCAGCTCTGTCCCTTTTACTAAGTGTCCTTCTAGTATACTTCTCATATGAAATATTCCTCAAGGATCTAGAACTAGAAATACCATTTGACCCAGCAATCCCACTACTGGGTATATAACCTAAGGATTATAAACCATTCTACTATGAAGACACGTGTGCATGTATGCTTATTGCAGCACTATTTACAATAGCAAAGACTTTGAACCAACCCAAATGCCCATCAATGATAAACTGGATATAGAAAATGTGGCATGTATACACCATGTAATACTATGCAGTAGTAAAAAAGAATGAGTTCATTTCCTTTATAGGGACATGGAAGACGCTGGAAGCCATCATTCTCAGCAAACTAACACAGGAAAAGAAAATGAAGCACTGCATGCTGTCACTCATAAGTGAGAGTTAAACAATGAGAATACGTGGACACAGGGAGGGGAACATCACACATCAGGGCCTGCCAGGGGCTGGGGGACAAGGGGAGGGATAGCATTAGAACAAATACTTAATGCATGCAGAGCTTAAAACCTAGATGATGGCTTGATGGGTGCAGCAAAGCACCATGGCACATGTATACCTATGCAGCAAAGCTGCACATTCTGTACATGTATCCCAGAACTTAAAATAAAATTATAAAGAAAAGAAAAAGAAAATATGCTCAGGCACATGCTCATACACTGATGTTACTTTGAGTGTAGTGTTATTTTCTAATCTTGAGAAGGACAGCCTCACCCTTATGATATTAACCAGCATATATTGTCCTTTTTTCTTTATAATGCACAACTTTCCTATGAGAATCAAATTATTCATTGTTTGCCTGTTTTTTTTTTAAAGAATTTCCTTTTCCACAGAGATATGGCATGAAGAAAGTCATGTTCTAAAGTTCTTTCAGGGGGAAACTCCACTATATATCACTGGGAAGCTCCAGTCAAGTAGAGGTCTCCATTCAGCCCAATTGAGATTATTTGTCTCAAAACTGTGTCCACTAAATATTTTAATCCATGTAGTTTCTGGCTTAGGAATTTATGAAATAAGAACTTTCTGGAGAAGTTAGAGGCTATTAATTGAGATGGTTGCAAACTGCCTTGTTGAATTTTTTCTACCCAAAGTAGGCATCAAAGTGGGTAATAATTCTATATCTGATTTCTAAGTCATTTCTATGGGAATCTTTACAAAATTGTTTATTTCATGAGTCAGTCTCACTCTGTCACCCAGGCTGAAGTGCCGTGGCCTGATCACTGCTCACTGCAGCCTTGATCTCCCAAGCTCAAGTGATCCTCCTACCACAGCCTCCCAGGTAGCTGAAACTACAGGCATGCATCACCATACCTCAGTCAATTGTTTTAAACTTTTTTTTTGTAGACAGGGTCTCACTTTATTGCTGTGGCTGGTCTCAAACTCCTGAGCTCAAGTGATCCTCCTGCATCAGCCTTCCAAAATGTTAGAATTACAGGCATGAGCCACCTCACCCAACCAGGTATTTCATGGAATGATTTGAGAGGCAGTATCTACACAGAAGCCAGATGGCCTGAGTCTGAATCCCAGCTCTTCCAGGTATGAGCTGTGTGACCTTGAGCAAATTAACTTTGTGTCTCTGGTTCTTTATCTATGAAATGGAGAGAATAATACCATCTACTTCACTGGGATGTTGTGAAGATTAAGCATCCACCAAAATTCGTATCCTAAAACATGTTATAGAATTCAACTAGCTACAGAATAACTGCCAACATGTTAAATTCCATACATACTTGACTTTCTACTTGAAATAATTTCTTCTTTGAGACATGCGTCTCATTCAAATTAATGTGACAACATGATGTATCTTCTAGTGGTGACTCTAACATAGTTTTTTTTTTTAAGGTATCAGCCAATTGTTGAAGTTATCTCACAACCGCTTGAAACAATACTTTTGTTATTGATTTTAAAATTATTATTAAATTATGTTAATAACATTTAACATACATACTTTGAAAATTATCACCACACACATTAATTCACCTTTTCATCATATGTATACATTTTTACTTGTTACTGAATTCAGTGAGGGACGCAGAATGTGTTGTTTTCCTGCCAAATTGGTATTCTCTTACTTACATGACAGATTCATCCCACTATTTAGTCATCTTAGAAGCTCAACTCAACCTCAACTTCCTAACACATTCAATCACCTGTTCAAATCCTTCCAACAGATTTCTATCTCAGAATAAAAGTAAAATTCCAATGGCCTTTGAGGCCCTAGGTAAACAACCCTCTATCTCCCTCTCTGACCTCAAGCTCCTAAAACTCCCTCCTGTACTCACTCCATTCCCATTGTATGTAAAGTCTGCTACCCCTCATTAGTCTGAAAATGAGGATCTAAAGCCCAATTCATAAATCACAGGCGGCTACAAGTATTTTTATACTGGACAAAATTATATTCAAATGATAGTCATTGAGCCTTGAAATAAAAATTATGAGGCAATTATTAATACAAATATTCAAAGTAAATTATAAATGCCAGTGGAAAGACTAAATCAAATATGGTTTTGCTAAAATTTAACATATTTATCCTAAATTATGATTTTATAACAAGTAGTTCCCTTTAAAATGTATTTATGACCATGTAAATGTAGTCATAAAAATACATAATTTGAGACTGATATATTTTCAGATTTAAGTCAAATTAATATGAATGAAAACAAAAGTATACCAACTAAAATATATAAAAAGCTACTTACAGAAAAGTATTACAAGATAAAGCAATACACTTTAGTTAATCTGGGAAATCTAGAATTACATGTCAAAGTAAATCACTCAATTAAATCTTAATTTGAAAATACTCATTTCAGGTGCACGCATTTTCATGTATCTGCTTCATCGTGGTCTTAATGTGGCAATATAAAGACATTAAACTTATTATTCCAGTACTATAGGACTATCCACCTTAAATATGACTTTATGCCTATTAAAATTTCATAGGTGGTATAAATGTCTGTACTCAAAGTAAATAATTCCTCAGCTCTACCTTTTATTTCCCAGAAACAAGGTAGATTTCTAAGCCAATATTGTAAACACATTTTTCCTTTTTTTGGTTTTTTTTTTTATTAAAACGGCTTTGTTGAAAAATAATTTACATACTATAGAATGTTTCTGTTTCAACATAAAGTTAGAAGGTTTTTAGTAAATTGAGTGAAGTTGTGCAGCCATCTCTACAATCCAACTTCAGAGGCTTTCCATCACTGAAAGACCCCTCACGCCCATTAGCAGTCACTACCAGCTTCCAGCCCCAGCCCTATGCAAACATTCATCTACTTTCTGTCTCTATATATTTATCTTTTCTGCATGTTTCATGTAAATGCAATTATACAGTATGGTAAACATATTTTTTTATCTATTCTTTTTATTCAACCAGGTTCAGTATGTATTCAGAACCAAATGTTAAAACGTTCTTTCCAGAAGTTTGAAAATATTTATCTTCCTTGATACTTACTTCTGCTTTCTCTTTCTCATGTTGAAACAGACGTTCTTTTAAATAATTACATTCATTCATTAACTTCTTATTTTTCTCTTCTAGCAGAAGACCTTCCTTTCCACTCTCAATAAAGTCTCCTTGGATATTAATTACTCTCTCTTCATTATCCCCCTTCTGATGAGCATCATCTAGTTGCTGTTTAAGCCACAGATTTTTACATTGTAGTTCACATATTCTCTCTTCTACGTAGTTCTGCTTTCCAGTAAATTTATTCACTTTAGCATCTGCATTTTGATACATCTCTTTCATTCCCTTTATTTGCTGCTGTGTTTGGCTTAGGTCGTTTTGTGCAGTTTCTAAAGCCAATGTCTTTTCTCTGAGAGTATCTCTTGTCTTACAGAAGTTATCTTTTAAGGTATTGAATTTAATTTGTGCTTTAGAAAGTTGTTCTTTAAGAAACTCATTCTTATCTTTTAGTTCAGAACTTGTGTTTACCTGTACAGAAACATCTTGATGTTTTCTGTAAAGGAAGTTGAGGTGTCTTTCTGTTTTCATCCTTTGATTGTGTTCTCTTATAGCAGCAGCCAGTCTAGACTGATATGATTCCATTTCAGCTTCCAGTCTTTCCTCATTTTCTTTTTCCTTCTCCAGTTCGGAATTGAGGCTTGTGTTCCCAGCTTTGAGATCATTAAGCTGTTGTCGATACTGGGATACTGTTTTTGTTATCATTTCCTCACTGAGTTTGTTACTCTTTTCAAGACAAGCATTTATTTCTTTAATAATTTTTAAATCCTTAAAATATTTGTTTTCTTTTTCAAGACTGTCATTTTTTAACGTGCTTATTTCCTCTCTGAGCATAGCAATATCTCCCTTCAAAATGCCATTTTCATGCATTGGATCTTTCATTTCTTCATGATTATGAAAATCCTAAATAAAACAAAAGAAAGTTTTAGCTAGCACTCAATAAGATAACACTTCATGATTATCTTTGAAGTTAAAGAATAACTTGTACATTCATACACTAAAAAGATTACGGTAAGTGGATATCAACTGGAGAAAAGGTTAAAGCAAAATTTGACTTATAGAGCCTAAATTCCAAAAAGTTCAAAAATTTCTTTGAAGTCAATGAATTCATAAAAGTAAACACACACACACACACACACACACACCCCAGAGAATTTTTAAGAATATCAAAATTGGAAAAGCCTTTCCCTGAATTACAACAAACCTAAAAGCATAAATTATTAACAAATTTGACTAAATTAAAATATCACAAAAAAAATTGCATTTACATTCTGACATCTAACCCATACACCACCCTATAGTAAGAGCCTTAATTTGAACATATTTGGACAGATAAAATTTCCTAAAGTTATTAAAGTTCTGTTTCTGTGATAATATTCTATTGCAATTTGACTCACTTTTATAGTCAGTGATAAGAATTATATTGACAAAATCATAAATCTAGACATTGTACTACTCATTTTTTTATACATTCACTGATGAACTCATTTAGTTATCACAGTTTTGAAAAAGAAAGGTTAAAAATATAAGCGAGCCACAGGATTTTCCCCAGGGCTTCTGACTCTACTTCTAGTTCTCCACTAGAACAGTTACTTCTGTGGTGTAAATATATGAACACGAAAGGAGCCTTTTATTTCAAAACACCAATAGTAAATAAGACAAAATTTATAGAGCTCTTCATAGAATATCATGAGATTTGTGATTGCAATAATTTCTATTTCCTCTTTATAATATTAGAAACAGTAATCAATATGAAATAGGGGAAAGTACAAGAAACTATTTTACTGGAAACAAAGCTTTTATCAATAAATTATCACTAAGCATATATTATGGCATATTATTGTTTTCAAAAGCTCTATGCAATAAAATAATATCTTACTTGGATGCCAAGACATACAATAAATATTAATAATTGTACCTATAAGCATCATCATTCATTTTCAAAAATGAGATAACATTTCTGGTTTGTTTTAGACCTAAATAATATGCATTAAATCAAGTGGATATTATAAGTTATATAGATAAAATAAAGTTAAAGATATAGAATTTTTATCAAAGATTGATTTACCTGATTTGGAGTATTTCTTAAGGTCTTCAGTTCCATCTCTAATGATTGAACAGTCAGTTCAAGTTGTTGTTTCACTTTAACTTCTTCCTTATATTGTTCCTGTTTCCTTTCTAACTCTTCCTTAAGTTTTCTGTACAGCATATTAACATTACTTTTCTCTTCATTTTCTTGTTTTAAGGTGCATTTGCAAATAAAGGAAGTTATCTTAAAATTCATTTTGTTAGAAAATAAAAAGTTCATCTTGTGATCTGCCTCTGCATATGTTGTTTATTATCCTAATACAATTTCCATGTTCTGGAATATTTTTCCTTTGTAGTTCTCAGATATTTAATTTCTCACTTCAATGTCTTCAAAAGAATGCATATACTTGAAAAGTAGTAAGGAAAGAATATTCTGCTAAAGTTTCTGTTACTAGTCACTCTAGTATATATTATAAAAAAGGATACTGGAGATTATTCAATAAAGTTACAAGCTGAAAATTACCTTTTTAAATCACACAGTCATAATTACTCCCCAATTAAAAAAGATCATTTACAATTAACAATTTTTAAAGTTACTATTACTATTTATTGACAAGTGTGTAAGTTCACTAGAAATAAATTTTCATCTTTATGAAATATTGCATGTATCCTTCCAAATGATTTACAGTGTAAGGTGTAAGATGACACCTTCAGATGTCTTTCACACAAAATATATCTGCAGATTACTGTAATCCAAGACTAGGCTAAAGAGGCTAACATCTGTTACCCCACACTTTTTGTATTTCTTTCTTGAGTAATACTTTCAATTCACCTTGTTATTTTGTACTTTATAAACAATTTTTAAATCTTTTTTGGAACAAGACAGGATCTTACATTTAAACAATAAAGAATAACATGTTTTTAACATAGAACTTGGAATCATATCTATGTAGGAGAGATGTTGAATAAACTAATTAATAATCAATTTTCAATTCACTTTTTGTTAGATGCATATTAAGAATATACTGAATAAAATTTTTAAAAAGTAATCTGGATTGAGAAAAATGGCCACTGCATACTGTGTGGGCTAAACTATAAATTAATATAGAGGTTTTTTCTTTAGTGATGAGGTCTCTGTCACTCAGGCTTGAGTGCACTGGGGTTATCATAGCTCAAAAAAACCCTTAAAAAGTATGGTTTGATTAATATAAACCTATAGTAATTGGGAAAACACCTTTGTGAATAACATAGCTAATAAAGAAATAGTAAATAGAATATACTACATATTACTATAAACCTATAGTAATCAAAACAGTATTATACTGATACAACTCATGTATTCCTTATCCTAAATTCTTAGGCCCAAAAGTGTTTCAAATTTTGAATTTTTTTTCAATTTTACAATATTTGCATATACATAATGAGATATCTTGTGTGTGGGACCCAGCTCTAAACATAAAATACACTTATATTTCATATGTATAAGCTGGTATCTAATTCTAATATAACCAGCTAAATTTACTAGTAGTTTTAATTACTTTTTATGGCTTAAACATGTTCATAATGTGGGTAACCCCTTCATATAGGTACTGAGGAAAGAGAGCTAAGCAGAATTCTGGCACAATTAAGACCTGGAGAATATCTCGGTTTATAGTGTTACTACTACATATAACAATATCACTATTACATACCTACATATATGTACAAAGATACTAAAATTTACTGATGTTAGGAGTTGAGTATGAGTCCCTAAAAATACAAAAAAGAAAAAAAACTAAAACAAAGCTAAGAATTATTTACAAGAAAAATTGTAGAGATTTATCATTTGGTTAAGACCAGGCATCTAAAACAAGGAAGATCTTCCCAAGAGCAAAATTCCTCTTGACCCAAACTTTAAGAAATAGTTCTACAATTCTGGAAAATGAAATAGTTTTCATCTGAAACACAGTTGATGAAAGGCAACTTGCAAAAGAAAACGTCTGGTTAAAGTGGCCTGAAACCTAGGAAAGGACTGACCTGTAGCCCTGGCAACAAGCAGTGCCACAGAACCTGTTTCAAATCAAGTCAGTCAAGCAATGACCACTGGCCTCACTCACCAGCTAATCAGTGTCAGCCACCTGCTTGCATAAGAAAGCCAATCAGAGATATTTCCACTCCAATCAGCAGGCCTGGTAGTGCCAACCAATCCACAACAGTCCCACTCACATAACCATGCTGCTCCAGATGATGTCAGCCAACTTACGCCTCTGAGATTTGGCCAAGCCTTCAGCTCCACTCCTCCCAAAGCCCTAAGATCAGCAGCTGCTACATCAGGAGGGAGTGTGCCTGACCAGCACAGTTCTCTTACTACAGAAAGCAATCTACTTTGTGTTTTAATTTCAGACATCCCTTAAAAAGAATTCCTTAAATCCATTAATTTTACCACTCTTATATTTTAAGTTTCTTAATAAAATATAAATGAAAATTGTCATTCCTTTTATCCATCTTACCATAATTAAAACTAGCATAATTACCAGTAAAAGAAGAAAGGTCACTAAGCACAATATTGGGTATTCCATCCATGGAAAAACACTAATTTAAAGAGTATAGCTAGAAGCCAAATTGTCTCTATTTGCAGACGACATGATAGTATACCTTGAAGACTCCATCGCCTCAACCCAAAAACTCCTGAAACTGATAAGCAACTTCAGCAAAGTCTCAGTATAGAAAATCAATGTGCAAAAATCAAAAGCATTTCTATACACCAATAACAGACTTAAAGAAAGCCAAATCAAGAACGAACTGCCATTCACAATTGCTACAAAAAGAATAAAATAGCTAGGAATACAACTCACAAGGAATGTAAGGGACCTCTTCAAGGAAAACTACAAACCACTGCTTAATGAAATAAGAGAGGAAACAAACAGATGGAGAAACAGTCCATGTTCATGGTTAGGAAGAATTAATATCGTGAAAACGGCTATACTGCCCAAAGTAATTTATAGAATGAACGCTATCCCCATCAAGCTACCATTGACTTTCTTCACAGAACTGGAAAAAACCACCATGAACTTCATATGGAACCAAAAGAGAGCCCACATAGCCAAGTCAATTCTAAGCAAAAAGAACACAGTGGGGGGCATCACACTACCAGATTTCAAACTATACTACAAGGCTACAGTAATCAAAACAGCAAGGTACTGGTACCAAAACAGAGATATAGACCAATGGAACAGAACAGAGGCATCGGAGGCAACACAGCATATCTACAACCATACAATCTTTGATAAACCTGACAAAAACAAGCAATGGGGAAAGGATTCCCTGTTTAATAAATGGTGTTGGGAAAACTGGCTAGCCATGTGCAGAAAGCAGAAACTGGACCCCTTCCTGACACCTTACACTAAAATTAACTCCAGATGGATTAAAGACTTAAACATAAGACCTGGCACCATAAAAACCCTAGAAGAAAATCTAGGCAAAACCATCTAGGACATAGGAGTAGGCAAGGACTTCATGACCAAAACACCAAAAGCATTGGCAACAAAAGCCAAAATAGACAAATGGGACCTAATCAAACTCCACAGCTTCTGCACGGCAAAAGAAACAGTCACTAGAGTGAATCAGCAACCAACAGAATGGGAAAAAATTTTTGCAGTTTACCCATCTGACAAAGGGCTGATATCCAGAATTTACAAAGAACTCAAACAGATTTACAGGAAAAAAACAAACAAGCCCATTCAAAAATGGGCAAATGATATGAACAGACACTTTACAAAAGAAGACATATATGAGGCCAACAATCATATGAAAAAATGCTCATCGTCACTGGTCATCAGAGAGATGCAAATCAAAACCACATTGAGATACCATCTCAGGCCAGTTAGAATGGCGATCATTAAAAAATCTGGAGACAACAGATGCTGGAGAGGATGTGGAGAAAAAGGAACACTTTTACACTGTTGGTGGGAGTGTAAATTAGTTCAACCATTGTGGAAGACAGTGTGGTGATTCCTCAAGGCCTTAGAAATAGAAATTCCATTTGACCCAGCAATCCCATTACTGGGTGTATATCCAAAGGACTATAAATCAGTCTACTGTAAGGACACAGGCACACGAATGTTCATTGCAGCACTGTTTACAATAGCAAAGACCTGGAACCAACCCAAATGCCCATCGATGATAGACTGGACTGGGAAAATGTGGCACATATACATTATGGAATATTATGCAACAATCAGAAATGATGAGTTCGTGTCGTTTGTAGGGACATGGATGAATCTGGAGAACATCATTCTCAGCAAACTGACACAAGAACAGAAAATGAAACACCGCATATTCTCACTCATAGGTGGGTGATGAAAAATGAGAACACATGGACACAGGGAGGGGAGTACTAAACACTGGGGTCTATTGTGGGGAAAAGGGGAGGGCCAGCAGGGTGGGGGGAGCTGAGGAGGAATAGCATGGGGAGAAATGCCAAATGTGGGTGAAGGGGAGGAAGGCAGAAAAACACACTGCCATGTGTGTACCTATGTATCTATCTTGCATGTTCTACACATGGACCCCAAAACCAAAATGCAATTAAAAAAAAGAAAAAAAAGATCTACCCTCAGAATATATTTAAAGGGGCATATATTTGATTAATATAGGGGCTCTTTTTTTCTTTCTATATGAAAAATAAAATTTTTAGCATTTTAAAAAAAAGAAAAAAGTAAAAGAAATTCAAATACTCTTATTACTATAATATGACTTTTTTTCTGACCAAGTATTCCCCAAGACCATAAAACAACTATAGGTAGACTGCTGCCACAGTTGAAGAGGAAATACTGTGCAAAACTAGATTCAGAGCAAGAACATTTATTTCACAAGAGAGCACTTTACCTTGGTATCAGAATCAATGACTTCAACAACTATTGCAAGCCATGTGTCATCAGAACTCTTTCTGTTGGACAGCCTATAGAAAAAAATATACAACAAAAATAAGTGAGTTCATTTTTTTAAAAATAATTGTTTCATGTCTGAGTATCACCTCCAAACAAAAACAAAAACAAAATCTGGGGAAAGGTCAGCTATCTATACAACAAATAATATTTCTTAATGTAATTAAAAATTGGCATCTTTTTCAAAAATATTTTAGTTACTTATTTCTGCCTGCACCTCTCCCAACCTATGAAATGTTCGATGAAGATTCACACTTAGTTCCTTCATAAATAGTGTCAGGAAATGTATTGGCAGAGCCTGAGAATAATTTGTCTTCATAAGTGACTGTCCTGAAGGCTGAATTCTATATCCAATTAATGAGTGACATAACCTTTGTTACCTGAACTGGAACCAACTGATCACTTAAAACAAGGTAGAAAGAGACATTGTCTCTTCTCCATTCCCTGTCTCTGGTTCAAATACTAATCTGTGCCAGTCAAAAATGGCAGTCTTGGTTCTTCAGCATGGAATCACTTAAGTAGGCCCTACTGCTGCCCTTTACCCCAAAACAGTATAGGCAGTTCCCTGAAATGTATGAAATGCTTGACAACTCAATGCACAAAAGTTAAAGTAACAAATGTCTATGTCATTATTGGAAATATGCTTCGCAGAAAGATTAAAACTTTCAAAATTATAAACTTTAATTATGTTCCCTGTGTAGGTCCTGCCTAGTTCAGGTCCACACAACTAGCAAGCCCTTGAGAACCTTCATAGATGCTCTGATATGAAAAGAGAGAGACTGCTGGAAAAATAACAGTCCTGAAATCTGTACCTCTTCTTCCCAATGGCTATCTCAATATATTCCTTCCTATAAGCTTCTTACAGAACCCTCTTCCATGCATAGGACTCAATGACAGTCTCCAACATTGAAATCTTCCATGTATGAAGGCACCTATTCCAAAAAAATGTGTTCAAATGACCAAGAGTAGGATATCTCTATTTCCCTCCTTCTGGTAAACAAACTGCGTAGAGTCTCAGTCATCTGTCCCCAGTACAGACATGTTCCCAACCACCCAAGTGAATAAGTACAACCACCTTGGAGAATAGTTTTGAAGTTCCTAAACAACTAAGAATAGAATTACCACATGATCTAGCAATCCCACTGCTATATACCCCAAAGAAAGGCAATCAATATATTGAAGAACTGTGAGCACATTCATATTTATTGAAGCATTATTTACAATAGCCAAGATCTGGAAAAAAACTGTCCATCCATAGAAGAAAGGGTAAAGAAAAAGCGTTACATAAACAGAATGGAGTACTATTCAGGCATAAAAAATGAGATCTTGACATTTACAAAATGGGTAGAAATGAAGAACATTATGCTAAGTGAAATAAGCCAGACACAGAAGAACAAAGTTTGCATGTTCTCACTCATTTGTGAAGGCTAAAAATTGAAACAATTGAACTAAGGGAGACAGACAGTAGAATGATATGAGGGGCAGGGAAGGGTAGTGAGATTGGGGGAGGGTGGGAAGTGTGGATGGTTAACTGGTACAAAATATATATAGATAGAATGACTAAAATTTAGCAGTGGATAGCACAACACGGAAACTAGTCAACAATAATTCATTGTACATGTTAAAATAATCAAAAAGTATACTTGGAATGTTTATAACACAAAGAATGATAACTGCTTGAGGCAACAGATATACCCATTTACTGTGATGTGATAATTATGCATTATACACTTGTATCAACATATCTCATGTACCCATAAATATGTTATGTACACTTTCTATGTACTCATGGAAATAAAAAATAGGAAGACAACCCAAAAAAGAACAGTGAAAAAAAAAGGTCTGAGATAACAATGACACATTTTTGCCAAAAAACTACTCTTGATTTCAGAAAATTTGAAGCCAAAGAAACATCAAAATTCAAATGAATGAGGATGGCTAATTTTATTCAATATTTAGATTTACTTGATATATGTAAATCAGGTATTATCAATGAGTAATATGAGTATTTAAGACTGTTATGGGGGAGTGGGTTAAATTACTACCTATCAGGTTCTATGCTCATGGTGAGAGTGATGGGATCTGTCCTCCAAACCTCACCATCACCCAATATTCCCATGTAAAACATCTGCATATGTGCCCCCTGTATCTCAAATAAAAGTTGAAATTAAGAAAAGAAAAACACTGTTACAAATTTTCAAAAGGGTAGTTTAAGGATTATCTTTGACAACTTTCTACCTTCAGAAATGCTTTTATTTGAAAGGAGGGAGGAAAAGCTTCAATTTACACTACGTCCTAATGTTGAATTTTAAATCTCCCATCTTACTCAGATTGGGCAGGTAAACATGAAGTTTTTAAGCTTGTAAGGGTCCTGAGAGACAGTAGAACACATAGTGGGTATTCAGGTTATGTCAGATGAATAAATGGATTAAAAGAATACATAAATATGGCCGGGCGCGGTGGCTCAAGCCTGTATTCCCAGCACTTTGGGAGGCCAAGGCGGGTGGATCACGAGGTCAACAGATCGAGACCATCCTGGTCAACATGGTGAAACCCCATCTCTACTAAGGGTACAAAAAATTAGCTGGGCATGGTGGCGCATGTCTGTAATCCCAGCTACTCGGGAGGCTGAGGTAGGAGAATTGTGTGAACCCAGGAGGCGGAGGTTGCGGTGAGCTGAGATCACGCCATTGCACTCAAGCCTGGGTAACAAGAGCGAAACTCCGTCTCAAAAAAAAAAAGAATACATAAATATATTTGATGAGTTCAATATTTTTAAAGAAAACAAGATAAGTAATATTTGTGCAATAGAAATAATTTATATTTGCTTTTTTTAGTTACATAAGGACACCACTAAAATAAAATGATTAAACTATAATTGTTTGCATGTATGTAATAAATCCATTCATAATAAAAGACATGTGTACGATAAAAAAATGTATACAATACAATCTACAAGCACAGTTTAAAAGATTCCCTCTATTTCTGAAGAGGCTAAACCTTGGCAGAAGATACCAATACACACACACAAAAATAATAGAAAGCAAAAACTTTTTTTTATCTGTTCAAGATTCATGTCCCTGTTCTTACCTAGGATTAGTTCACTAATAATAAACTTTTACTAAACCTGCTGTACATACTCATTGTGGATATCACAATAAGAAAAAGGAAAATCAATCACTTATAATACAAATGCCCCAAAACAACAAAACTTTATCACACTTTGTGTACACTTTCAGCTATGACAAGACCGTTCTTCTTGTGTGTATGTATAATCAAATTGATTTTTTTCTCACCTCATATGCCAAAGTACATCTCCCCATGTCAATATACATGTGTACCTATTGCCTCCTTCAATAGTTACATACAGTTTCATCATATGGATGCACTGAAATTTATTTATAAAATCCTTTATTTATTTACCCTCTCCTTAATACATTGCTATTGGAAGCAGTGCTGAGAAAAATGAATTGTATGCATCTCTAATTATTTCCTGAAACTATTTTAGTATAATGGAATTGATGGGAAAAGGATACATACCTTTTTCAGAGTGATGCTCACCACCCAATTGTTTATTTAAAAAGTTATCAGCAACTTAAACTTCAAGCAGTAGTGTACGTACCACTGCTCTTTATCCTCACAAACTTTGTGGATAACAAGCAGTATTTCATTCCTCTTCTACCTTGAATTCCTTCTCTTACCAAGAACACTAAGTACTTTTTCCCAGATCAATGGTAGATCTGGACAAAAGTACTTTAATCAATTTTAAATTATAGTTCTTGCTTCTTTAAAAATTTCTCTGAAAAGGAAGATACATTTTTCATTGGAAATAATATATGTCTATATGTATATAATGTGAATATTTTGCAAGTATGTTGTCTTTTATTTTGTTAATTTTTTCTGATATAAAGGGAATTTTAACTTTTGTTTTCTTTTTTGGGGGAGGAAGGCAGGAAGGGAGGGAAGGAGGACGGTAGAGAGGAAGGAAGGGATGAAGGAAAGAAGGAAGGGAAGAAGCGGGAGGGAGGAAGGGAGGGAGGAAGGGAAGAAGTGGGGAGGGAGGAAGGGAGGGAGGAAGGGAGGGAGGGAGGGAGGGAGGGAGGGAAGGAGGGAAGGGAAGGAAGGAAATCAAGCAATGAGAGAGACATTGCCGACCTGAATCTAGAGGTTTACAAGTTGATTTCTTTTTTTGAAAGAAGGAAAGAAAAAAAAATAAGTAAAGGAGAGGAAGAAAGAGGAAGAGAAAGAGGGAGAGTAAACGGAAATATTGCTTTATTCTGAAAAAAATTGGGTATTAATAATGGCCAATCAATGTTTCATTTAAACTTATGAGTAGGTATGATGTGGTATTGACAAGAATGTATGTTTTGTGTATTTGAAGTGGGGAGCTCTATAAATATTTATTAAGTTTACTTGTTCTGGATCTGAGTTCGAGTCCTTAATATCCTTATTAATTTTCTGTCTCATTGAGTCTAAGTCTTTATGTATCTGGGTGTTAGGATCATTAGCTCTTGTTGTTGCATTGATCCTTTTACCACTGTATCTTTGTTGCTTTAAAATCTATTTTATCCGATACAAGATTTACAACTCCTGCTTTTTATTTATTTATTATTTATTTTTGCTCTCCATTTGGTTGGTAAATCTTTCTCCATCCCTTTGTTTTAAGTCTTTGTGTATCCTTGCCTGTGAAACAGGTCTGGATGTAACATGCCATTGGGTTTTGGCTGTGTCTTTTGATTGGGGGATTTCGTCGATTTAAATTTAGGGTTACTGCCATTTGATGTTAACTGGCTGTTTTATCCATTCGTTGGTGTAAATTCTTCTTCATGTTGGTGCTCTTTACTTTTTGGTATATTTTTAGAAAGGCTAATACTGGTTGTTTCTTTCTGTGTGTAATGCCTCTTTCAGAAGCTCTTGTAAAGCAGGCCTGGTGGTAATAAAATCTCTGAGTACTTGCTTGTTCATAAAAGATTTTATTTTTCCTTCAGTTGTGAAGCTTAATTTGGCTGGATATGAAATTCTGGGCTGAAGGTTCTGTTCTTTGAGGATGTTGAATATTGGCCCCCACTCACTTCTGGCTTGTAGAGTTTCTGCTGAGAGATCTGCTGTAAGTCTGATAGGCTTGCCTGTGGGTAACCTGACCTTTCTCTCTGGCTGCCCTTAGTATTTTCTCCTTCATTTCAACCCTGGTGAATCTAACGATTATGTGCCTTAGGGTTGCTCTTCTTGAGGAATATCTTTGTGTTGTTCTCTGTATTACCTGGGGTTGAATATTGATCTGCTTTGCTAGTTTAGGAAAATTTTCCTGAATAATATCCTGAAGGGTATTTTCCAGCTTGGATTCATTCTCTCCGTCACATTCAGGTACACCTATCAAATGTAAATTAGGTCTTTTCACATAGTCCCACATTTCTTGGAGACTTTGCTCATTCCTTTTTATCCTTTTTTCTCTAACCTTTTCCTCGCGTTTTATTTCATTAAGTTGGACTTTGACCTCTGATATCCCTTCTTCTGCTTGATCAATTTGAGTGTTTAAACCTGTGCATACTTCTCGGAGTTCCTGTATTGTATTCTTCAGTTCCATTAATTCACTCATACTCCTCTCTAAGTTGTCTATTCTCAATAGGATTTCATCAAACCTTTTTTCAAAGTTCCTGGTTTCTTTATGTTGGGTTACAACATGTTCTTTTAACTCACCGAGGTTTGTTATTATCCATTCCTTGAAGAGTACTTCTGTCATTGGGATGCGCTCGTTCTCCATCAAGCCTTGTTCCATTGTCGATGTGGAACTGTGATCATCTTTAGAGGGAGAGGCGTTCTGACTTTGAGTATTCTCAGCTTTTTTGCGCTGGTTTCTTCCCATCATTGTAAATTTATCCTTCTGTCGTCTTTGAATTTACCAACTTTCAGATTAGGTCTCTTGAGTGGGCGTCCAGGTTGTTAGTTCCCAGGGCCAGAGCAGCGGAGTTAAAACTGATGGTGCTTTTCTGCCCAGGATTCTCCTTTCGGGCTTCCTTCTTGTGTCCGTAGTAGGCAACTCTGCCTTCCCAGGGCTCCAAACCTCGGTCAGAAGGGGAACCGGTCCCATTTACTCTGCGCCGAGCGCTGCCATCACAGCCACTGTGCCGGGCTCTGGTGTTATGCTGGGGGGGGCCCGTGCGGGTCCTCCAAACCTGTTTACTCTGTTCTGAGAGCTGCCGCGCCAAGGTGCAGGCAGAACCACTGCGCCGGCCACGAAAGTCGCGCTGGTGACCCCTGTGTTTCCTCCACTGGGGATCTTCTGCTCCGTGAGTAACCAGAACTTGCCTGAAAGTGTGGCGTCCTCTAGTTCTCCGCGCCTTCACTGAGAGCTGCAATCCCAGGATGTTAGCCATCGGCCATCTTGGATTGTCTCCAACTTTTGTTTTCTAAATCAACCTGCAGAATGCATTCATAGGAAGGTCTTTGTCAACAAAAATATATCTGTAAAAATAGGCATTTGTGTTTTCTTCTGGTATTTTCCAATTGTGTATATTTAAGTTTTTATGCATACTCTATCAAGAACTTACTTTTGTAATAAAAAATCTAGCTAATTTTCTCCAATTAACAGACATTTCATTTATGCATAACATCTTTTCCAACACATATGAAATGTCATCAGGATCAGTTTCTAAAATCTTACATATAATTCAGTGTTTGTGCATTTTTTATTCCATTCCACAAATTTATCTGTCTTCTCATCTTTTAGTAAATGGAACTTAATATCACACTTTGATATACAGAAGGCAAGTTTTAGTCCATTACAAAAATTTTCTTAATGTCATCATAACAGTAAAAGGTAGCTGTGTAACCCCTAAATCTTAAAACCTTGATGTTTTTACTTTTATCTAAAATGGATAAACATAGAGTTCACATCTCGAGGAAAAAGAGTCTTCCTATTCAAGAACAGGGAACCATCCTCTCACTTCAAAGCATCCTTTTAAGGTTATTCATGAAATAACTTATATACATAGGTATATGCAGATATAAAAGGAATATGAGATTTTATCCAAAGAATTTTTAGCACAGAAGTTGATATAATATAGAAATTATTTTTCTCATTATGCTTATTTCCATAACATTTATAACATTATTTAAAATGTGTACAATAAAAATAAAAAGCTAGGTATACTTAATTTTTTTTTTTTAGATAAAGCACTAAAACTTTAAGTAAAGTAAGGGGAATTATGAGATGATCCGACCAGCTAAAGTTTTGTTTTTATTGTGCTGCTCATAATGATGATCTTGGCACTCCTGCAGGGCTGCCACAGTGGGTGCTGCGGGCTACAGAGGGAACAAAGCCCAGCGCCGGCGTGGACAGGGGTGGGCCTAGAGCAGGAAAGGGGGCCTCTCCCCAACCCGCCCTCCTCCCTCTCCCACCGGGCTCCAGTTCGTATTACCGTTTCTTCCTGTCTCCGTTGACCATGCCACGCTTCCACAAAGAAAGGATCTGCGACGCTGGGAGCGTCCGGTCTCAGCAGGCAACTCTCTAAAGCCTGCTGATCGTCGTGTGCGAGTCACGGCACCCTGAATTGGAGGAGGTGCTGTGCTCACTCTCACTCCCGGCACCCGTGCCCACCCCCATGAGGCTGTTGACCGAGCCCCAGGGCTGCTCGCCCTCCCCCCACCTAAAGCCAGAGGTCTTCTTCATGGCTCCATCTACCGGCTTCGGCGACACCTCAGCCCCGCTGGGCTTTTTGCCCCCTCCGGAACCCTGCATGAATAAGCAAATCGCGTCCGCCACAGCTGCCAGCCAGGAAACGCGGTGACTCTCAGCCTCTTGGAAGAGAAACAGACGTGCCCTGAGCAAAACCGTTATGCAGACTGTGCGCGCATCCTGGCATCCTTGCGCACAACACAAACGCCTGACGTGGAGGGACCACCACGTGCCAGAGTCCCAGGAGCCATAGATGCCAGTGACAGCTTGTTACCAGGCCTGCTGTGCCGTCCAAGGTGTGGCAGTTGGCGGAGCTCAGGACACTGACGACGGGAGAGGCGGACCTAGGGGAAGGCTGTCCCCACACAGCCTAGGGCCAGAGAAGCGGGTGCCTGGGCCAGACAGAGGAAGACCTAGGGAAGCAGGCTGGATGTGCAGGGAAAGGTCCAGTCCCACCTGTCGGTGCAGGGAGCAGCCTGCGAGGAGGGGACCCAGGGCCTCGTGGAAAGAGTCAAGGAGCTTGGGTAGACAACCCGACAGGAACAGAGGGGAAGGCTGAGCAGTGAAGGGGTCCCCAAGTCATCCAAGGCAGAGTTCCCAGGTTTGAATTCCGAGTCTGAAGGTGCTGGGCAGGGAGCTAGCCCCCACCTTCTTGAAGCCCCAGCCTCATGCTCCCAGAAGTTGCCTGGGCGGGGCTGAGGATGAGCCCTGGCTGTGGGGTCTCTCCACCCTGCAACTGCTGAGAGACCCCACACCTCCATCCTCCCTGTGAATTCAGGGTTCTCAGCCCTGAGGCTTCCCAGTGGAGCCTGGCTGGGGTGAGGTGGGCCAGACATGGGCTTGGGTGAGTCTCACCACAGAGGGGTGCCACAGAGCAGCCAGGCTTCCCAAGGAGTGGACACTGTCCCAGAAGGCCCTGGGATCCGCCACCCCCAAGCACACTGGTAGGCAGCATCTTGCAGAACTTGCGCCCGGGCCTGCGCCACCACCCCTCTGTCACTGGACACCGACGAGAGAATCTGGGTGGCCAGGGCCTTGTCCTTCACCAAGGCACAGCCAGCTCAGCCTCAGAGCCACGGGTGACAGTGCCTGTCTGCATGAGTGGGTGTCTGTGAGTCTGTGGGTGTCACAGAGAGGAGCTTGGGGGCTGC